TTTTGTCTTGGATAGAAAACCATGACAATCAGATAGCAACCTAATGTATAAATGAACTTATTTTAGAACAATGGAATAGATAAATAGAGAAATTTAAACATAATATGATTAGGATGTTTCTTTACTGTAACTTAAAATATGGATATTTTTTACTGGTTGTTGGAAAAAAAAAAAAAAATTGTCTCATGTCACTGTCAGCATCATTTTTTGACAATTCTGGCTATTAACATTCACAACAGGCCACAATATTTTTGAAGCAACCGTTTCAGATTGCACCTTATGGAGTTCAAGACCTATTTCATACAAATACCAGTTCATTCCTCATTTGCAAAATTCTTCATAAAGAAATGGTAGAAAAAGGTTAAATATTTGCAAAGAGAGTTATCTTATGCTCAGGGATCTTCTTCAAAGAAAAATGGTATGAATGTGGTTAGAAAAACAAATATTAGGAAATATTTTAACATACACCCTTTAAACTTGTTAAACAAGAAGGCAGGTGACAGCTTGTCTTACAAATCACAAAAATGACAAGAAAATCCAAACAAAATTGAAATGTAAACAATTTCATGGTCATTAAGCAAAATTCATACTGAAATGCAAACTTGCACTGGTCATTGGAAGCATTTCTTTCTTGATTTCATTTCTAGCACATCCCTTATAACAGATCTTCACTTGATCATTTTGCAGTGGTCTTGGGAGTTCCCTTTTAAATGTCAAATACTTCATAGAGGCCAATGCTGCTTCTGCTCTTATTTTTGATATGACCGAGCGTGTTCCAAGAATAGATTCTGCAGAACGCCTAGGTGAAACCATCTCAAATGTTAAAGGTGAATTGAAATTTAAAGACGTTGATTTCACATATCCCTCAAGACCAAGAAGCTTGGTGTTGAGGAATTTCAACCTTAGGGTGATGGCATGCCAGACTATTGGATTGGTGGGCCAAAGTGGCTCAGGTAAATCAACAGTGATCAATTTGCTTCAGAGATTCTATGATCCCCTCAGCGGAGAGATCCTACTGGATAGGATTAGCATAAAGTCCCTGCAGCTTTATTGGTTAAGGAGTCAAATGGGCCTGGTAAGCCAAGAGCCTATACTTTTTGCAACGTCAATCAAGGAGAACATCTTATTTAGAAAAGAGGATGCTTCACAGTATGAAATAGTTCAAGCAGCCAAAGCTGCCTGCACACAACTTCATCACACAACTACCGAATGGATATGATACCCTTGTAAGTACCACTTCATATTTGCTTTGGTAACTCACATTTTGCTCTCTTCCTACTCTATAATCTCCACAACAATAATTATAGTCTTGTAGTTATTTCTTCTGCCTATGTTTTATGTTACTCAGGTGGGGCAATTAGGATTTCAGATGTCTGGAGGACAGAAACAGAGAATCTCCGGGCACTGCTAAGAGACCCAAGAATCTTGCTGCTTGATGAAGCCACAAGTTCATTGGATTCACAGTCCGAAAAGGCTGTTCAAGATGCCTTGAACCAGGCCTCATTAGGACGTACAACTGTGATTACAGCACATCGTCTATCAGCATTATGCAATGCTAATTTGATTGCTGTTATTCAATTTGGGCAAGTGGTAGAGTATGGTTCTCACGACCTACTTATTCAGAATGGGCATGGCCAATACTCAGCAATGGTTCAGCTGCAGAAGACCTTGATGAATGATGAAAGTAAATCAAAATATGAAGGGAGAGAAAGTAACAACTCTCTTTCCCTGAGTAAAGATACCCATAAAGAAGATGCTTCAAACAATTTGATTCCTCATCTATCAAGTCCTAACAAAAAGACCAACAAACAGCCGGAAGAACAAGATGGCCGTCCATCCTTGTGGCAACTGATAAGAATGACAGCATCTGACTGGAAGTCAACTCTGGTAGGTTGCATTGGTGCTCTTTGCTATGGACAAATTCAGCCATGGCAATCTTTCTGCGTTGGTGGACTTCTATCTGTGTACTTCATCAATGATCATGATGAAATCAGGTCACAAACAAGAATATACTGTCTTGCTTTCTTATCCTTCGCCATCTTCGCTTTCATCACCAACGTCATTCAACACTACCACTTTGGAATCATGGGAGAGAACTTGACAAAAAAGGTCAGAGAAGAAGTCTATGCAAAGATTCTGACTTTTGAGATTGAATGGTTTGATCAAGGTAGCAACAACAGTGGGGCTCTATGCTCTACATTAGACACAGATGCAACCATGCTACGAACTCTGGTCGCTGATCGTTTGGCATTTTTTATTCAGGCCATCTCTTCAGCAACTTTACCTGTTATTTTAGGTCTCTTTCTGGCTTGGAAGTTTGCCCTTGCAGCTCTTGTTATGCAGCCACTCATCATAGGTGCCTTCTATATTAAGGGAGTAATGATGAGAACCATGTCTGCAAAAATCTTGAAGGCTCAGAACAGGAGCAGTGAATTAGCAAGCGAGGCCATTAGCAACCACAGAATCATCACTGCATTTTATTCTCAGGAGAAGGTTATGGCACTTTTTGAGGCTACACAAATGGGCCCCAGGAAAGAGAGCCATAAGCAGTCTTTGTATGCAGGACTCGGACTGTTTACTTCACAGTTCCTCACTGCTGCTATGGCAGGACTGCTTTTCTGGTTTGGGGGAAAGCTTCTCTACCATGGGGATATCGCGTACAAGCACCTCTTTCAGACATTCTTCATCTTGGTGTCGACAGGGAGAGTTATAGCGGAGACAGGAAGCATGACTGCAGATTTATCAAAGGGTACCGATGCATTAAAATCAATTTCAACAATCTTGAGAAGAAAGAGCAAGATGGATTCAGATGAAGCAAATGGTATCAATCTGGAAAAGATAAATGGAGATATAGAGCTTAAAGAGGTGGATTTTTTTTTGTCCAACAAGACCGAAACAAATGATCTTAACTAGTCTAAGCCTAAAGATTGATGCTGGAAAAGTTGTAGCCTTGGTTGGCCAGAGTGGGTGTGGAAAATCCACCATCATCTGAATGATTGAGAGATTCTATGACCCATCAAAGGGATCAGTGGAAATAGATGGAATTGACATCAAGTCTTACAATCTGAGGTCAAGGTCACATATTGCTTGGGTAGGTCAGGAGCCTACTCTTTTTGCAGGAACAATACATGAAAACATTGCATATGGAAAAGAGAATGCAACTGAAACTGAGATAATTAAAGCTGCAACTCTTGCAAATGCCCATGAGTTTATCAGGTATCCCCAAACACAAAATTACAATGCTCAATATGTTTCTTTTTTCCTTTTCGCTGTTCCATTTTCCTCTTTTATCTTTTTATCTTTTGTTTATTTTTTCCTGTATTGGCTAAGCATGTTCAGTTTCATGGGCAGTTCAATGAAAGATGGATATGGGATCTACTTTGGAGAAAGAGGTGTACAGTTGTCTGGTGGGCAAAAGCAAATGATAGCTCTTGCTCGAGCAATCTTGAAAAATCCTGCAATATTGCTTTTGGATGAGGCAACAAGTGCATTAGACATTAAATCAGCGAATCTTGTGCAAGATGCATTGGAGAAGATCATGATTGATAGGACATGCTTGGTTGTGGCTCATAGACTATCCACAGTTCAGAAATCGTATAAAGTATTAGTGATCGACAATGGGAGGATGGTAGAAGAAGGTTCTCACAGTGAGCTTCTTTCAAAGGGAGAAAAGGGTGCTTACTTTTCACTTGTTAGGCTGCAACAGCAAGCTTCCATGAAGTAGGGAGTCCTCAGAATAATGGCTGGAGATGCTGAACTAAGGCAAACAAATACTGTTAGGTTTTAGTTTTCATTTAGTGTAAGTAAACATTGCAAAGATCAAAGCCCACACAAAATGTGCTAAAATAAGGATGAGACCCTAACTCTGCTAAATGCAGATAGTATCATCTGTTAATGTACATTGAGAAGCAAAGGTTGTAACCTAGTGGTACTTCCTTGCCTTCTAAAGCAGGAGGTTGAGGGTTCAAGCCCTCGTAGGCGCATGTGAATGTATGTGTATCTTGCAATGAAAAAATGTATGCAGTAGAGTTGTTTTGATTCACTTTTTAATTATTATTATTTTGGAGATCATCAACATTGATTTTTGCTTTTGGATGTGATAAGTATTTAGATTTTGTTTTTGAATATTTGTTTTCTAGTACACTGTTTTTTCTGTTGATTATATAGTTAGAACAAATTGTTGAAGATACTTGATTAGATCATGAAATAAAGCTGTACTCTGTCTCCTTTTTACTGCATTTTGGTTTTAAATTCAACGTATTAATTGCTTTGATGCATGATTGATACAAATATGGTTGAAATTAGCGTATTGAATGTCTTTTTATTTTTATTTTTATTTTTATTTTGTCACATCAAAAGGTCTTGTAGTGCACTGTTGAGCTGAAAAAGCTTAATATAATGGGAACTTTTATAATCTCCCTCACTCTGCTTTTAATGCTAGTTTACTGAGCTCTTATTTAATATATCATTTTAATATATGTTTATTTGAACTCAGTTTTGGTGGAAATGTACTGATGAAGGTCTAGAATACTATTGAATATGAACTTGACAAAACATTATGCTTCTAGGAAATGAATATATATATATATATATATAGATGAGCTAATTATCATTTTGTTGGAATGAACCTCTACTTGTACAGGCAAACTTGAAAGCCATATACACTGTCAGCAAAGAATACTTGGTAGAGGAAGAAATTAGGAGCAAGTTTTTCATGAAATTGTTCCAATCAGAAATCTGAAATGCCTTTCGTGTAGATCAACATTGTTACTTTGAGGAAACTATTCTCTATTTCTCAAACTCCATTGTCTAGAAAAGGTTTTTGGTGCCTTTGTAATTAGTTTTAGATTAGTATTTTAAAAATTAATTTGGGACCGACCAAAATCGATAAAAAATTAAAAAATAAAAAAGGAGGAAATTGTTAGCTTGCGTACTCTATTATACCTTCAATACATGTACAACAAACAACTTGATAAAAAAGGAAATTGAATCATAAACTATACTGGAAGCACAAAAACAAAACTTCATTTTTGATTTTTAACTTACCATTACAGTGTTCAACCCATTGTAATATCAGACTGAAATGATTAAATACAAACCCAACTGTAGGATTATTGACTAGAATCTTGTGATTAAACAAACAAGACCCTCCACAAACCAGGTGCAAATTATACAATGGATTCTATAAATTTAACCAGCTCTTATTCTATCCAACCAATCAACACTCTTCCTTGCTCTTTCCAGTTGTTGATCGATGCTTCTCCGTGATTTCTCATGGTATTCCACACTCCTCCGAGACCTCTCCATCTGGTCGAAAGATATCTTTAACTTGGCAAGCTTGTCATCATTACTGAATTTGTATTCGTAACTCTTCAGTTTTTCAGGCTTATCGGTGCTTCGCCTTGGTCTCTCTCTCCGGTCAGTGCTCTTCCTTGGAGCCTCATAACAATCAGTACTTCTCCTGGAATGTTCAGGCCGATCTGCACTCCTTGAACTGCTCCTCCGGGAAGGCGATTTTTCAATTGTAGATACGAACTTTTTTAGGTGCCGAATATAGTCCGGATATAGCTCTAAATTACAGTGATTTCCACCTTTAATCCATAATGGTTCATACTTCTCTTGGCATAGTTCCCAAAGCTGTTTACCGTGAGACCAGTCCACAACTTCATCAGAAGTTCCCTGCACAACAATTAGAAAGGAAATTGCAACGACGGTAAAAACGCCAACAATAAAATTCAGAATCAGAATTCGTGCAGATCAAGAATCATGGTATACACCCATATCATAAGCTTTAAAGTAGGCCAACTCATGGCTTGCTGAGATTAACACCGTAAAATTTGCTACAGTTGAAACAAGTCGAGGTATCTACAGTTGCAGCACCAACACTTTTCTACACTCGATAGAGTTGAAAGGCATATGCAAAGGTTTCAGGTCTTTCTACAATGATGCCAGCATTTGATACTGGATGCAAAACTACTACAAGAGTGTGCTTTGGGACTATAATTGGGGTAACCGAAAAAAAAAAAAGATAAAAAATTGAACTGAATGATCATCAGAGTTCTGCTTACAATTTATCCAAATGTAAAGAAAGCAGTTTGTTATGCAAAATGTAGGCAATCAACGTTATAGAGATTGTTAGAAGAGAGTATCACATGCTTCTAGAGGAACTGGTGAATGGTTTTAATTATATTTTTCAGCCCCCAAAACATCCCCCCACCAACACCCAAAAAAAAGAAAGAAAAGAAAAGGCGGTTCAGTCAGCCAGTACAAGCTGATAGAGTGGGAATGTCATCCCGTAGATTTTAGTTCTCTTGTTTTATCTCCTTTGCACTAAAAATAAAGATAACAGGTCATCTCACATGAGAAGTACACATAAGATGACTTGTGTACACACACAATAAGAAGAAGAAAACAGGATGCATCGGTTGAATATTGACCAACGATTCCTACTAATTGTCAATTCAACTTGCCACATTAACTGCATTTTTCAAGTTTTTAGTGTAAAATGCAAAATAAATAATAATATTTAAACCTTCACTATTAGTGTTTTGCAAAAATACCCCGACCTGGCAAATATCCCCTTAAAACTTCGAAAAAATTTCAAATTAGTCCACAATATAAGATATCTGTTAGTAACAATGGAAAATTACTAAAAATAATCATCAATTAAATGACAATGTCATTTTGTTCAGCTGTCCTTTACAATTATCCATTAAATAAAATGACCCCATGTGTCGATAATATTTTTAAATTAAAAGAAAATCTACTTAAAAAACTCGAACATATCCACCCCATTCAAAATGGCCCGCTCACATATGGCTAACTTTTCCTTCTGAGAGTTTCAGCAATGGCATGGAGTCTCAATAATTGGCCAAGGCAGGAGTTGCCTCTTGAGAATGGAGGTCTACATGGGTCGGGATTCTTTGTTTTTCAACTTTTTCCATTTGTTCACCATTTGGGTGTGGAAACACAAAATTATTTGAGCTTCTACTGGTTGCCAATGGCGATTGAGAAAGGTTGAAGATGAGAATGGTGTTCAGTCAGGCTTAGATGTGTTGCTTACTCGCTTTACTCTCTGGCGCACTAATTTTTGTGCAGTTATTTCCATCTAGTTTCAACCATGTCAAAATTGACCTACAGCAAACCATAGCCACCATATTCGCTATCTTCCACCACAATTAAAAATTTAGAACACAATAATTCTCTCTCTCTAGATCTCTCTCTCTTTCTCTTCAAACCCTGATTAAATTAGTTATACATGCTGAATTGCTAATTCATAGATACACACTAACACAAAAATACGTATGTATTTGAGAACATGAGTTAGGTTGCAACACTGCTCATAGCATGTGGCATCTATAAGACATGATTTTCAAATGCGACAATACTCAACTAGGCTAATATCAAAGATGGGAAAGAAGAAACTACCAAATTGGTTGCATAAGATCAAATCAAAAGAGTTCTTTTTCACCGTTCATTTTCCCAATTGATTCCACATGGAGGCATTTATTAATTGTTTTCCATTTTTTAATCAAGCTATTACTCCCTCTGTCCCATTTTAAATGTCGGCTTCGGGAACTGTGACTCAAAATTTTGTGAGTCACAGACTCACAATTCCCGAAGCCGACATTTAAAATGGGATGGAGGTAGTATTAAAAAATTGATGAAGAGTAAATACAACTATTATTGAGATGGAGAGATCTTGGGATTGAAGGGCAAGGGTTATCTACGGTTCTGATCAATGTTAGAGAGAAAGGATATCCATGTTTGATAAAGAAAGGGAAGAGATTTGAATTTCAATTGGGGATTTTGGTCCAGAAAACAGGTTGCATTTGGGTCATGAATTGGGTCAAGAAACGAATTTTTTGTGGGTTAAATATAGTTTAGTGGAATAGGAATCAATAAAAAGGGTATAGTAGTCATAATTCACAATTTTTATAACGTTCTGTATGTGTGGTTACACTTCCATTTCTTTTTTAACTGTAATCTGACATGAGGGGTGTAATTGAAACTTTCTGAGTACCATTGGGTTTTTTTTTTTTACCATATGAATAGTACAGGGGTTAGTTACAAGAAATTGAAAGTTCAAGGGGACTTTTCGCATTTTGCCCATTTTTTAAACCATGACTTTGAGTCTTAGAACAGGCCTTTCAATATAATTCTAGAGGACAAACATTGGCTTCTATAAAGTTTCTTACAAAAATTGAGGATGAGAGGCGCCCACCCCCCCCCCCCCCCCCAAAAAAAAAAAAAAAAAGACAAGAACTTTATTACACTTGAGGACACACATGCGCTCATGTTTGCTAGTGCTCTTGAAAACCTAAATTGATTTGGTTACAAAACATGCCACCGCAGTCCTTTACATTGGAATGGAGTTGAACTCCATGATTGATTTAAGAACACCAACATTTAAGAATTTGAAAGAGAATATATTTGGACCACAACCAAAAGGACTGTCATTTAAAGTGAAGTGACTAAATGTAAAGATGAAAAGAATAAAGGAGGGTAAAGAATTCCTATACTCTGGATACGTAAGACAAGACATTCCCAACTCAAGTTGCAAGACCATATAATTAACCAAGCAGCCCTTGTTTCAGAGACAGAAACTAGATAGGCCTGCAGTTCAACAAAAATCGTACAGGAAGAAGACAAAAGGAGCATACATCCAAGTTGTATGTGAACAATCAGCCACTCCTACTATTTGGGAATTTTACTATTGGGACAAATACGATTATTCTTCAGCCGTTTTTTTTATTTTATTTTTTCCCCCTTTTCATTTGAATATGTTTAAGGAACAGTAGCACATATGATTCATCTTTGAAAAGGAATGCAGTATATTTAATTAACCAAGCAGCCCTTGTTTCAAAGATAAAAACTAGATAGGCCTGCAGTTCAACATAAATCGTACAGGAAGAAGACAAGAGGTCCATATCTCCAAGTTGTATCTGAACAATCAACCACTTCTACTAGTTGGGCATTTTTACTATTGCGATAAATATGATTATTCTTCAGCCTGTTTATCCATTAGAATCTTTTTTAGAACTTTAGCACATATGATTCATCATTGAAAAGGAAGGATTATACTTAATTCAGCCCTTGTTTCAAAGATAAACTAAATGGGCCTGCAGTTCAACAAAAATCTTACAGGAGGAAGACAAAGGGGACATCTATCCAAGTTGTGTGAAAAATCAGTCACTTCTACTATTTGGGTATTTTCACTATTGTGATAAATATGATTTTCTTCAGTTTTCTTTTTCTTTTCTTTTTTTTTCTTTTTTTTTTTCATTTGAATACTTTTTAGAACTGTAGTACATATGATTCATCTTTGAAATGGAATGGAGTGTATTTCATAAATAAGCCAATATTGCTTTTGGAAACCACATAAATAAGATAATTTTTTATTTTGTCTTTAATTCATTCAATTGAACTCAAATATATAAGAGGATTTGTAGGACCTCAAAATGCTATTTCGGTTTTCATAAGTATCATTATTATTTGTGCAACAATTTAATTTAGGTCCGGTTAGCACCATATAATGCAACAACAGCCCTAGAAATTCGTTCATATAAATTTTCATAACATGACAGGAACACAAAATTTGTCATCTACAAAGACAACTGCAAGTAATCATAGCATAGAACATATGTGTTGATCATATCAACAATTTCTTTGTTAAATTTAAAATGTCAAGTATAGAATTTGAGCACTTACATGAATGACCAGAACAGGACACTTCACTAATGGGATTTTGTCAATGTTCTGCATAACACCAATGAAAATAATGTTCAGAGACATTCTGCAGGATATGATAAGTGAAGAGAGTCAAACATATGAGCATACCAGAGTTTTACCTTGTAGATATCAAACCAATAAGTGCGCTTTACAGGGTACATGACTCTTAAGCCTGATAGTATAGGACTGTGCAAGACAATGGCTCGTAGTCGGGGCAAACGAGCTGAAAGGTCCAAAGTAGGGCCACTTCCAACAGATTGGCCATAAAGGATGATATCTTCCTGCTTAGCACCATAGTTCTCTTCGAGACACTTATATGCAGCTTCAATATCTGCATAAGTATTGTGCTCACTCGGCTGTAACAAGTTTACATATATACTTCAGCGCGTGCCTTCAGGTTGTTAACTGGTACGAATAAGAGATGAACAAATGTCTACCAAAAAAAAAAAAGAAGAAGAAGAAGAAGAAAGAAAATCATTTCAGTTTACCTTTCCAGATGACTGCCCATAGCCAGAGTAGTCATACCTGAGTGAATTTGAAATGCATCTTAGAAAGTTCCCATAATTGATGCTTAATTGAATAATCATCCGTATATAGTAGAAGAATGAGAAGAGGGGGGGAGATTGTAATCCACAATGACAAATTAGAGAGGAAAACACATTATTCGCTGTGACATGATGCTGGTGGGAGATGGGAACAATGTTACCAGATGGACACACGATATCTTCTTGAGTGAGAAATCAGCAAAAGGCCTCATACATAGTGACCAAGCAAATTTAGTCTACTGACAATTTAACTCTTCAAACAAAAAAGAAGAAGAAAAAGGACATCTTGTACAACGATGACAAACATATTTCCAGGCTTTGCTTTTTGCTTATTAAATTGGTTAATCTTTTGTATTGAAGAAGATTCTTTCACTATTAAACCCACAAATAAATAAAACAAAGGCCCACAATAACAAGGAAATGAGTTTAGTATTTGCCCAAAGAACTTTTAAATTAAAAGTTGATCTCAAAATATGCATACCAATTAATTACACGTCATAATTATTCTTAGATAATGATTTTGAACAATAAGATTATAATTTTTTTTCCGAGGTAATAAAATAATAGAATGTTCGTTCTGAAGAAATGTTCTCTCTAGGAATTGCTTATTTAGTTATTTGAAACCAACACACATCTGGAATTTTTTGTCTAACTCGGTTACCAGAACTACAATGAATGCATCTCAATAATTTGCTTGATTATTTTGTATAATCAGAACAATTTCAATCTTTTTCATTCATTCTCAGACCAAACCCAGTTATTCGACTTTACAATTTGGCATTCCCAATCCAACCAAGCCACTTTACACAACATAGTTTCAAGTCAGTTATCTCATTATTTGTTTCAGTTTGATAAAACACCTAGTAATTTAGAATGAGATTCAAACTTCGAAGTTAGAAAACCAAAATCCCAACCAGAGAGCATATCACAAGGCAAAAAGATCTTTCAGGACCAAATTTCCTAAAGGCACAATTTTATGCATAACATCAAAATGAACTTTCAATTGGAAAAGCCAAGTAATGGCACATCCTCACGTTGGAAAAATCATATCCTAATTCAACTAGAAACTATAACACTGCCAAAATGTTGAGAGATAATGAATGACGCAACTCAATGGACAAAGCTAAAGAGCATATCTCTCAGTTGATAATAGAATTTTAGTTAATGGAAAAATAATTATGAGTATCCTTACTTTGCCTACTTTGGCGTGGATAATTTGCTGAAACAAAACCCAAAGAAAACACATCTCAGCCATCAAAAAATCAATCACGTTCACACAAACTAACAAAGTAACAAAGTGGAATGAACCATAATGTCACACTCTTAAGATGTAAAAGGACCATGTATAAAAAGACCAGAGAAAATGTGAAAGTTATAGTTTGCAGATGAACAGTTGCAGACCTGTTCGTTTCACACCCACCAGAAAAATCATCACTAATTCATCAAAACAATGATTCAATAGCCACCCCAATATTTAATTTTTAAGCCAACCACCAGTAGCCCCATCAAAGCATTTCCATCACATATATCTCTTATTATAATTTTTTTTTATTAAAAATAAAAATTAATAAAAATATTTGAAGGAAAGAAAGAAGAAGAAGAAGAAGAAGAAGAAGAAGAAGAAGAATAAAAAAAATGGATAATACTTCAGTCCTGCCCCATCAAGACAGATTGTGTCCTGCACACTAACATGTCCCAATAAGAGGTTGACACCTCTTTTAAACTTAAAAAAATACAAAACATGGGTTATACCCATATTTTAGGATTAAACCGACAAATCTATTTTTTTCCTCTCTTTACTCCCATCTGTGTATCTCACTTGGTCATCCATATCTTTCTTTTCCCTTAGCCTCCAATCATTCCAAAAAAAAAGATTGGATTTCGATTCCGATTTGGTCTCGGCAAGGATTGATTCATTTTCTTGAAACAGGTATGTTAAAACATTATATTTGCCCGGCTGTGTAATTTTTCATATATAGCATGCATAAAAAAATAGTTGAGGTAGATTTTAAAAAGGGAGAAATAGAAATGGTTAGTTCAATTTTTCAAGGATAGTTTTTTATCTTAAGAAAATTTAAAATAACATAAAAGGTAGGAAAGACAATTTTCCATTAGTTGTTCTCTAGAAACATAATTAAAAGAAGATACATTCAAAGTTGAGTAATTTTAAAACAATTTCTGTTTATTTTATATGATTCTAAAAAATTGCCTGGAACTATTTCAGAAGTAAAAGAATTTTTATTATTCTAAAAAGTGGAGGTCAGGTAGGAAATATTAGGATTTGGATCAGGCAGAGCTAAGGGAAAAGAAAGATATGGATGACCAAGTGAGATACAGGGAGCAAAGAGAGGAAATAAAAAATAGATTTGTCGGGTTTAATCCTAAAAAATTGGTATAACCCATGGTTTGTATTTTTTTTAGTTTAAAAGAGGTGTCAACCTTTTATTGGGACACGTTAGTGTGCAGGACACAATCTATCTTGATGGGGGCAGGACTGAAGCATTATCCTAAAAAAATTGCCAACAAATTCGAATTAGAATGGCTAATTCCCCAGGATCAATATTGTAACTTAGCATACACTCACTAAAATTCTCAAAATTGCAAAAATTGGTAAGTGAAGCACCTATAAGATTAACACATAGATATACACCAATTTTTTTTTTTTGATAAATAAATATACACCAAATATAATAGCAAGCACATATATATCGCCCACAAAAACAATTAATCAATGGGTAAGTAAAAAAGGAAGAACCAATAAGATTAACACACAGATATAGCCCAATTCGATAGAAACCTCATACATAAGACCCATGAAAACAACAAATTCAAACTGGGTATAGCTAATTCACCAGAATTTTTCATCAATATGACACACTTATACACATACAAACACACACACACAGACAATAAATCCAAACTGGGTATAGCCAATTCACCAAACAATGGACAAAATTCTCAAAATTGAAAAAATGGGCAAGTATAAAAGGAAGAACCAATAAGATTAAACGTAGATATATGCTCAATTCGATAGAAAGCTCATGCATATGGCCCATAAAAACAATAATTCAAACTGGGTACGGCTAATTCACCATAATTTCATCAATATAACACAGTTACACAGGGAGAGAGTACCCCATTAGATTGACACGCAAGTGTATGCTGAGTTCGATGAAGAGCTCATACATCTGACCAATATCAGCAGCATTTCCGTGAGAGTAGAGAAGAGTGGAGGTGGCCATGGGGTACCTCACATAGACAGCGACGATCTCGGTGCCTCGACGGGTCGGTAGCTTCAAAACCTCGACATTTTCCCGGTGAGGGAAGGGGTCCAAGAGCAAGAGACCAGTGGATTCGTCGGTGATTAGGTTGTAGGAAGGTGGGTTCGGCGGGAAAAAAGCGAACTTGGCCGCCATGGACGAAGTCACCCCACCCATTGAAATTTCTCTCTTTAGAAATCGACCACTTTTTTGTGTCTATGGAAGTTGTCGTCTGGCCTAAATCAGAAGCGGATCAGTATTTTTTTCCTTCTGTTCCTCTTGTTCTTGTTAGTTTCACTGATGTGAGAGACAGAGTAATCATTTGGAGGAGTAGAGAGAGCGGGGTTAAAAATGTTCTTTCAACCATTAAAAATATTTGAGGGATAATGATTTTGTGACCTGCTGTCATTTGTAGTGGCCGTGAAACCCCGTTCGCATGCCTTATCCAATTGCGTTCGAATAACTCAAACAAGTGTGTGAATTCTGATTCCTCTTGTCATAATATTACTTCCATCAAAATTTGACGAACAAATAAAAAAACACATTAATTGGGATCATGTAATTCCCAATTATGTAAAAAAAATTCAATGTGAAGGATATTTTGTGTAGCATTACATGCTTTTAGTGCAACACATTACATTCTATAATCAAATGCAATTACATATAATAACAATGTGATATAATAAAGGTTGGATTTTTGGGCTGTAAAATCTCAAACCTATCTTAATTTGGATTGTGTCTGGGTTGAATAGTTGAAAACGTGAACTCAGTTGGAACTCAAATTTTGATACTGTTTTGTATAAATTTATAAATTTAAATATATTATATTAATATTTTTTTTGGAAGGTAAAATATATTGTATATATTTGTAGTTGTGATCAACCAATTTTTTTTTTTTTTTTTTTTTCTCTTTTGGTTAATTTTTCTTAAATCTTGAATTACAGTATTTATTAAATTCCTATGAATTGCTATTCAAAATTTTATATATTCACATTTAGTATTAGAATTTTTTCATGCATAGGAAGAGTAACCAATTTAGTATTAGAATTTTTTATGCATAAGGAGTAACCAAATTTGACATTAACTCAATTTTTCGGTTTAGTTATTAGTTTAACCCGAGTTCAGTTTTTTTAATTTAGGTTGGACTTGAGTTAAATATTCGTGAGTATTCCACCCAACCCAATTTAGTTGCACCCCTAATTCCAAATGATATCCTATAAAGTAATTTTATAAATATGGTGGATTAAAGGAGAAATTATTAGATGGTCTTGTTTATTTGATATTTAGTAGACTAATTCAATGAGAACCTTCCAATCATAAAACTTTGTAATTTATTAATACACTCTTGTAGAGCTATTAAATGTGTCTTTAGAGGCACGACACTATCATGGTAAACAAAAAATAATTATTATTTATTCAATTTCAAACTAGGACATGAAATGAAGTTAATACATAGTAAGTAAATATAAACTTGAGACTATAGACTACTATCTTAATTTTATGATTTCTATATAAAAATAAATCAAAAAAGGATTTTTGACATAATTCATAATATTTAAACGGATTATTTTAACCTATTTGTTTAATTGAAGAGGTTTTTACTCACTTGATAATATGGATAAACTCAAACATGAATTTTATTCCTTACATCAAATAGATAAAAACTCTGATAGTTAAACAAATAGATTTGAGATTTCTGTACAAGAATTATTTTTCTATTTGCAATATAACAGATAAATAGTCCAAATAAGTTTTAAATCCACTATACAGAAATCCAATCGATTTGATTTAATGTATAGTACAAGTTTAAATCCAATCCAATTTCAAGATGAATCTTCTTTAAAAACATCGATATTTGATTCGTTTTTAAGATTTTTTATTTTATTTTTAAAATTGGGCAAGTTTGACCTGTTTTTAGTTCTGAATTCAAAATTACAGTCCAAACACAGCAAAATGGATTTCCCATGCATTATTGTGATATTAAAAACCCTTTTACCTATTAGCACTAAACTATAACCAACACTAAGCCAAGTGAAGTGTTAAAAATGACTAAATGGGGAATTTAATTTACTAATTTTGTGACATGTGTTGGCTGTATCTAGGGCAAGTAGATCTGATTAGAAGAAGAGATCGAGGTGAATACATCAAAAGGTGGGCCCACGTTGGCACATTAGAATATTTGTTCTTCATCCTAGAAGGAGGAATATTAATTAATTAATACAACTCAATTGGTAATTAAAATAAAAATTAATTAATTATTTTTGGGTGGCAATCAATTACATGGTCCATTATATAATTAGAGCTATGGTCAATGGGTCTATTTATTATAAGACACACATCACATGAGATCATAAGAATGTGGGGAGTATGTTGGTGAAGTTTGAGACCTTTTCCTCGAACAATAAAAACTGGCCACATGTTTGTTGACTGTTAATTTTCCCATAAATGAATAAAAAAATCAATTATTGAGTATGATCACAACTGTTATTTTTGTCAGTGCCCTATTTCTTTAACCCAAAAAAAGAGACTCTATTATCATTAAAAAAAACAATAGTAGTATACCATTCCGGATATAGTGTGAGTTTGACAATAACACCTGTTCAAATTTAAATATAATCTTATATTGCTGTAGCTAGCTTCTCAACACTGTAAAAATGGTTAAAAATATTCTATAGTGTGCCAACCTAACATTTATCAGATAACAGTTGTTGACAGTATTATTTATTTTTATTTTTTTTATTTTTTTTAAGTTTAAGTTGTAAACGCAGTCGATCCTCCCCTCTAACCACTAATTCTAACTATCAACTTTTTCTTTGAAAAAAAATCATATCAACTAAGGCTAATTAATAGTACTTGTAAATAACATCGTATTGTTTTCACTCATATTTCCATATTTCTCGATAAAAGTAGCATACAGATTGGTCTTTTTATATCTCTATCTTATGCTCAGAAACAACTTTTCGAATCTTAATTATGATTTCTCTTCTTTCGTCAATCTTTCTCCATATTTATGTGACCTTGTATCTACAAATTATGATATTCGACCCTAATCTTTACTAACTCCATAACTACAAAAATAGTAGCTTAACGATACCTTCTTTATTTTTAAAATGAAAGGTAAGATTGAGTTACGTAAAAATAATTAACTGTACGAATTTCTTGTAGAGAAGAGAAAAAAAACAAAAACAAAACACACATATATACAGGTACCAACCCAATGGCACTGCAATGACAGGTCGAAAAAAAACCAAGTCAATGAAAGGAAGAGAACAAGAAGTGATAAAGAATTTGCAAGTCAAATTAGTTGACCCTGTGAACACTAAATACCTATATACTTTCCTAGATATCAGAAATGGATAGATATATTTGAAGGTCTCCTTTGAAATTAATGTTTACGATTTATTTATATTGTTTATTCTCTGCCTATAAATGCATGGAAGAATCTTGCTAGTTTCCAAAATCATGCTTCTTAATTAACCTTCACTCAAAATCTAGTGAGAATATTTAACAAAAAGGACTTCACATAAAAGGAAAAGAAAAAGGAAAAGAAATAAAGATATGAAGAAAGAAAAAAAGAAAAAGAAAAAAAGTGGGCTCATATATATATATATATCGCGGCTATTGCATTCATATTATATATATTCAAATGTGAGAAATGCAAGATTATCAAGAGTTCTTTTGTTTTAATGAGATGGGCCCCATTGGATTGGGGCAACCCATTGAATCCACTTCTGGTCTCCTACCAACTTACAGTAGCCCCAGTCTAGGGATTCACTAGCTTTCATTTTTTTACTGGGCCGACACTGTTTTGGGGTCCCAGCCATCCCTCCTTTTGGAATAATATTTGTTTAACTCCTCATATATGAATAAGTAAGCCCGTCTATGTGTCATGTTAGAGAGTTAATTTTTAAGATCAAATCTTGTCAGAAACAGTCACAGGTGTATATTCAGTACTCAAGTTAGGCTAGCCAAATTTTATTATTTTTTTTGGGATAAAAGGATTTAGTGCATGTTTCTACAATGGCAACATTGGACCATGACCTGTCTTGAGGGGTTGCATGATAAGATACCATAAGTTGTGATGTGTTGTTTGTGGTGCATTGTATATGAGATTGTGTTTGGGTAATGTTGATAAATCAGTTTTAATCAGTTTTGTGCCAATGATGAAATGAGGAAGAAAGGTATAATATTTATATACACATGGTGGCATGAGAGATGTCTTACTCGGCCGAAAAAAGAAAGTTGAAACATCTTTCATTTATGAAAGATGCACCCGGCCCCAATAGTTTCAAAAAGTTCTGCAAGTAAAAAAATTCAGTTCCAAAATAAGGCACGAGGAAATCCTCAAATGGAGATAGTAATCAAGAAATTTTAAGTATTAAAGAGTATTGTCATGCACTTTTTATTTGCAGGTTGTGTCTTGCAAGTGACATATGAGCTCTTGAGAGGATTATGATTGGTGTTTGCATGAGTAGAATGGAATTCTAGAGTTTTAATTTTGAGAAGATTGTTGAGTGTCAGAGAGAATTGAAAGGGTTCAAATATATAGAATGGAATTCTAGAGTTTTCGAGAAGATTGTTGAGTGTCAGAGAATTGAAAGGGTTCAAATATATAAAATGGAATTATAGACTTTGTGAAAAGATTGTCAAGTGTAAGAGAGAATTGAAAGGGTTCAAATATATATTGGAGAGTTCCAGATAATTATAGAGTGAAAGGGAATAATTTTTAGAGAATAAATAATTAGCACAAAAGTTTGAAAGATTAGACATAAAAAGATTTGAAACCTATATATAGAGCCAGTGTGCCATGGATAAGGAACAGAATCCCATAGTAAGAAGTTCGAGTGTGCCACCACGGGTGTGGTGTAGGCTGATTTTTAGCCCATGCCAGTAGGTTAACATCCGGGAAGCAATTGAATAGAACTATCATAGTAAAAAACAGTTGATGTATTATTACTGTCATATAGTTAGATTCAGAATCTCAATTATTACTGTCATATAGTTAGATTCAGAATCTCAATTCCATTCTTTAGAGTCAATATTATATCAAAATTATCACCAACAGTATTCTGGACCCGCCCAATGAGAATTATTAAATAATATTTATTCATTTAAAATAAAAATTATTTGTTTGTATCAGATCTAATAAATACTATGAAGATGATATTTTAGAACTGTTTTTATTTAGTCATAATGACTCCTTGAATTGACGGTCACACCTTAAAGCTGATCGAATGACATACTTTGCAGTTTTTGTCTCAAATGGCTTTATCTGGATGAGCACAGGCGTCTACCGTATGGAATAATGCCCTCACAATTTCCTCGCTGACCACAAACTTGGTATAACGGTAAGACTTAAAGTCAAGGTTCAAAACAAAAAAATAATCCCTTTTATTTGCATTCAGAGACAATGCTTGCTGGCTGCGTACATTCTATTCTACCCAAAGTTCAAATTAACCTACACATTCACGGGAGCCTTGAGTTTGCCCTTTTTGTATTTGTGAGTACTTATGAATTTGTGTCGGCAGGGCAGAAATGAAAATATGGCAGGGTTTTAGGGATTTTTGTTGCATTCTTTAAGCTTCAATTTACAAGTTTACCCATCACTTATTTCTAATTTACAATTTTATCTATTTAAATAGGTTGTAAACGAGTTGAGCTGTATATATCCGTGTTGACATAATTGATTTCCCTAAATGAGTTATGTAACTTCAAATCAACACGACATGGTTAATTTATTTATTTAATCGTCTCGACTTGTTTATAATTCAAACCCGATCATCCCATATTCAAACCCTTGTTAATTAATGCTTATGTTATAAAATGTTTCATACTTTATCATGTTGTGTCAAATTTATTTTGTTCAACTGTGTTTTGTATTCAAACCCATGTGTTGTGTCAAATTTTGTCGTCTGTTGATGACATGTGCTTAATGCTAAACTCAATAGGCTAAAAAAAAAAAAAAGGAAAAAGAAAGGGACGAATTTTGTCAAATCTCACTAATCTTTTCCAAGAGTGATCCAAGCAATAACACATTTCAACAATAAGTAACACAATGGATCAAGAGACTTCGCTTACAACAAAAATCATAATCTCTCCATATTTAATCATTATAGTCAAAAATGTCATGTATATTTCTGATATGGGACTTGCGTTGTGTTTCATGTTATTAAGTCAGTTAATGTTTTCCTCTTTAAAATGAAATTTTCAAAATTTTTAGAATTATTTGGTAACTGCTATTAAAATTTTTAGCAAATAAATAGGTGTCATTAGAATATTAATATGGACTTGGCATTGAGTATTTGCTCAAATACAAGATATTCAAATCCTAACCAAATTTTGCTTATGATATGAGATCATCACGACAACATAATAAAAAGCACAACTTGATTAGGATTTGGAGATCTTGTATTTGAGCAAAATACACAATGCCAAGTTCATATTAATATCAACAAAAAGAGAGGTCAACTTTTAAAAACAAAAAGAGAAGCTTTTTCATTTTGATGTTTTCAATTTTGACTTCAATTTTAAAAGTGTTTTGGTATTATTCAAAAGCATAATAAATATTACAAAATATATATACTTCGTGCTTTTATTTTGCTATAATATACCAACAAAAATAAAAAATGCAAAGTAAAATAGACAAAACAAAAGTGCTAACGTGTTTGCCCAAACTTTTCATTGAAAGCAAGTGGTAGGTCTTATTACTTCTAATAATATATAAATTGATGGGTCAATTAATTCTTAAATTCCAAGTTGTGGACATGTGCTTATGCTAAACTCCACAGGCTAAACAATAGGACACTTTTTGACAAATCTCACAAATATGTTCTCTAGAGTTGACAAGTTTTGTCAATTCAGAGACCTAATCAAAACCCTGCCTTGCATATGGCTCAATCATAGCACGTGCTCACTTGGCTTTAGAACCTGTTTGGTTCACCCATTTTGCTACCTGCAATACTTTATTTTTCCCAGAGATATTGTAGGTACACGCTTAATCTCCCCTTTAACTTAATTAATATGTCCACTTTGTTGTGACCCATATTTTTATGTAGTTTTTGCTCTAGATGTAAAGAAGGACTGCAATTTGCAAATGACTACCTCAACCTTCGCTCAAGTATCCTTTCATGTGACTTATTAAATATATATATATATATATATATATATATATATATATGTCTACATGTGCACAAGAGACAAAATATTATATATATATATTTTTTTGATAACAATTAAACAAAAATAAATCATTTAAGAGAAGGACAAGTATAATGGAGGAGAAGAACATTTAACGATCAATGGAGGAGTTCAGCATTTAACGATCACTGAAACCATAATATTACCATATTCTTATTCGACTGCAAAAGTCTTTTTGCAAACACATGAGGGACGACGTTCCCTTTACGAGAAATCCAAACAAGAAAAGAATCCACACAATCCTTAGAGAGAGAAAGGATATCATTGACTATTACCATTAAACCTTGAATAGAAACTTGCAACTACAAACAATCCCCTTCCACCACCACAGACGTTAATTATATACCAACCAAACTCTCCCATTTTAACCTATGATATTGTCTTGCATTCGTTTCATGCCATATATGTCGCACTCATTTCTTACCTGCATCATTAATTTTATTGTCTTTTTAAGAATATCGGTTTATAAATTCATTTGCAAATTAATATATATCAAACACATGCATGACTTAACTTGCTTACTCAATTAAATTGAAATTTTGTTGGAATTAATTTGACTCGTTTATTAATTAATTAATAAAAATATACAAACCATGCTTTTATTCAAACGGGATCAATGTGTTAATAAGCACGACTAATTTGTTTATAGCTAGCTAGCCCTAACTAAATAAGTGATGAGCTTGGCTTTTTCTTAAAAAATTAATGCAGCAACAGAAAGAACATTAACTTTGGTGAAAAGGTAAATAATAGGGGGAAGCATCAAGTGTGTCCCCGTCTAAGCACTAGGAGAATATATAATTAATTCCATAATTCTAAGTCCCCATTGGCGCATCAAAACCAATCAACTACTTTGCACTTGCCTTGTGCCTTCTTACCAAAACAAAATATAATCACTAGTTTCCAACAACTGCTACGTGTCCAACAAAACACAATACAATACATAAATTATTGGATGGTCCATGTGGCCGGATTAAATGTTGCAGTAGTTTGTAATTTGTGTTTAATTGACACCGTCCATTAGAATTTAAAATCATTTAATAATTTCTTATAACTTAATAATTTATGTGAATGGAATTTTATGTGCGGAGTGTGCCCCAAAACGGTATGGTTTTATTACATTCGTTTCATGCCATATAAGTCACACTCATTCGCCACATGTAATTATCATTAATAATGCACTGTGGGGTATGTTTCTTGCTATGATTTTAAAAAATAGAAAATAGAAAATTTAAAAAAAAAAAACCCTCCTTTGTAGTATTCCATGAACTCTCTCTCTCTAGACTCTATATATTCATGTCTCTCTTTATGTACATTATATATATATCGATCCATTCAGGTTCTGGTGAGAGTTATGGAGGTACAAACTTGGCTTGCAATTGACTTATCAGCCTCCTCAAGTGACCAAACCACTGGTTCTGAAATGCAAAGCACCTCAACTATTTCTCAAGAAACAAACAGTTTCACTAGTCCTGAAACCAATTCATCTCCATCAAATCTATCTCACAAAACCCTAAAACCCTCCATCTCTCACCTCTGCATTGCCACTCTCAAAACCCTAACCCCACAAATCAGCTGCCTCGCCGTCCACAACCACGCCCTCTACGCCGCATCCATCAACCAAATCAACGTCTTTGATCTAACAAACCATGCCCTCATCGACACATTCAGCTCCGATGATCCCCGTTCCGGTGTGGTCAAGTCCATTGCATTCGGAAATGGGAAAATCTTCACCGCTCATCAAGACTGTAAGATCAGAGTGTGGCGAATTTCACCATCTAAACGGCACCGTTTAATGTCCACTCTTCCTACAGTTAAAGACCGTTTATACCGTTGCATTTCTCCGATGAACTATGTCCAAGTCCGGCGTCACGTGAAACGGTTGTGGATAGAACATGTGGATGCCATTTCGGGTTTAGTGATTAATGATGGTTTAATATATTCAGCGTCATGGGACAAGAGTTTTAAGGTATGGAAAATGTCGGACCAACGTTGTTTGGAGTCCATTAAAGCCCATGATGACGCCGTTAATGCCGTTGCCGTCTCTGGTGACAGCCTGGTGTACACCGCATCGGCGGACGGAAAGATTAGGGTTTGGGAGAGAGGTGATGGAGAGAGAAGGGGTATGCATGTGTTGATCACTACGTTAGAGAAGCATAAATCAAGTGTCAATGCGCTTGCATTGAATGGTGATGGATCGGCGTTGTTTTCGGGCGGTGGTGACCGTCTGATCTTAGTGTGGGAGAGGGAGGAGGGTGATGATCATAATCACATGATGGTTGCATGGTCGTTGAGTGGGCATGGAGGGGCTGTACTGTGCCTAATGTGTGTTGATGATGTGTTAGTGAGTGGGTCATCGGATCGGACGGTTAGGGTTTGGCAACGTGGCACTGATGGTGGATTTTGTTGTGTGACAGTGTTGGAAGGACATGTGAAGCCGGTTAAGTCGTTGGTGGCAGTTTCCGGTGGCAGCGTTTCGACTGGCGGTGGCCGCGTTTCGACTGGCGGTGGCGGCGTAATGGTCTATAGTGGAAGTCTTGATGGTGAGGTTAAGGTGTGGCAAGTCATGGTTTCTGATGTTAGTAGCGAGTCACCAGCTTCATATAATCTGAGATTGACCCGTGATGTTTAATAAAAAGATCTCTTGTTAATTTGGTCCATGACTCCATGATGTTTATTGTGTAAATCTTCTACATATATATATAGATATATAGTAGTATATGATATATATATGTTCTGTGAGATGTCACATGAAACATGTAACCGTGTTGATTATGGTTTATGAGATATGTCCACTACAAACTGTATGTTTCATCTGTCTAAAAGATGCAGTTGCAGAGACGTGTTGGTTGCTTTCAGTATTTCATTCAAAGCCCACGACATGTTTGGGCAAAAGTTGATAGGTCAATGATGAATGAAGTGCTTTTTCAATATTGTTTATAGAATGATTAAGGCAACAAAATCAAGAGAATGTCCTAATTGTATGCTTATAATAAGCTTCCACTACCATTAATTATAGTACTAAAAATGTTTTAATTAACTAATTAAATTATAGAGATGAAACGTTTTTATTAAGTGGAGTGCTAGTGTCAGCCTAAAAGCTTTGAAATAATTAAATTAAATACTTAGGTCTTTGTGCTTTTTCTATTTTTTAGAAATTTGGAATGATTAACAAACAAAGCTGATCACTTGTCGGTAGGTAGCTTTTAGCTTATAGTTCTGATTATAAGTAGGAGCATGTGGGTTACTTTAACCAATTTAATTAATACCAAATTAACTTGAGATCAATTAAAGGACTTTTGTCCCATGCAATGCCTCCATCAATTTTGTGTTTTCAAATATCGCTTTGCGTAAGTGCTTACGTATAAGCTTCGTGACAACTTTTAATTGACTTATTAACTCTCCATTAATTAATAATCATGTTTTTTTTTATTATTAAGAAAGAACTTTGTTACAAGTCATTAATTGCTTCCGGTGTAACCCCCAAGGATGGCCGGTTGGTAAAAACTCTCATCTTGCAGTTTGAAGGTCGGGAATTTGAATCTCACTAATGCCATTCCTACTCTCACACTCTGAGAATGTTTTTGGTAAGTGCATGCGAGAAGAAGGATTGCATGTGTTTGGTAAATGCCATGTGCATGTGGAAAGGAGGATAGCATGTGTCCCATGTAGGAATGGCAACGGGGCGGGTGTACCCTCTCAATTGTTTAAAAATTTCATCCTCGTTTTTGTCCAAATCTGCAAAAATAGGAGAGCTTTCCACCCCATCCCCGCCCCTATTTAACATCTTTATCCCTGCCCTGCCCCGTCCTGTTTAAGACCAAAAATTATCCTCCATTTAATATTTTTTTATCAACTTAAATTACATAATTATTGAAAAGATTCATAACAAAAAAATGGAAAATAAATAATTTAACATAAAATTCAATATTAAAAACATTTTAAATGGTTACGCAAGTTACTTGTTCCAGATTTTCAGATTAATTTTGTTACAAAACAAACTATCTCAATATTTATACTAATAAAATAGGGGTACTAATGCGAAATATATATAATAATGAAATAGAGGTACTAATGTGAAATATATATAGTAATGAAATAAGGATTAAGTAATTTACCTATCTAAACGGCCCGCCCCTGCACCGAACTCGCGCCTGTTTTCATTATATCAAATCATTTACGTCCAAATAAGTTAAACGGTCCCTCAAAAACGGGACGGGATGGGTATCCGCTGGGGCAGGACAAATTGTCATCCCTAGTAAGGTGAATTACGAAGTATTGTAAGAAACTTATGCCCCACACGACCACCAGAATTGTGGTCCATCAATAGCTTGGGCTGCCCTAAGTTTAGGGGATCTGTATGTGGGTTATTTTTGGTATTCCTTTGTTGGGCCTCTGGCTACTTATAGATCACTCTTTAATCGGGCCATCTCTTGGGCCTCCATGCTAAGCACATTTACAATTTAGTACTTTACAGTTACATATACTGTCTCTGTACTATATTAGATGTACATAGTTCATCTTTATCTTTAAGACCTCTCAAATTAGTCCAACCAAAATAATGCTTATATTTAAAAAATTATTCTTTAGCTGTGTTCGGGTCTATGGAATTGGAGCTGTAGAATAAAAAAAAAAAATTGTGAGTTGCTTTTCTCCAATTCCAAAACTCATTGCATGTGTGCACATTGAAGCAGAAAAAGAAAAAGAAAAAGAAAATGGGGTGAGAGAGGCTTGAACTCTCGACCTCAGGATAACTCAGAAGCTATGAGACCTACGCGCTAGCCAACTGCGCCACCACCCCATATGGCATTCTCTCCAAATTTTGTACTTTACTACTATCAAATTTCTCCCACTAACCTCACGCCAAAGCGTATGTAAATGGTTTAGTTCACTGATTCACTCCTACTTCTCAATTCTCATACATCGATAAGTTTTTGTTGTTGCTTTCGATGGACGACACTTTCGATCCTGTAAGTAAACCCTAATTTCCCTGTTCTTTCGTTTTCAATCTTTTTCACATTGCAACTGTTTTGTGTGTGTGTGTATATATATATGTATGTCACAATTTGTGATTATATATATTGCAGGTTCTAATACAAGCCATTTTCAAGCTCGTATGGAGTAGAACAGCCCATGGTTTTATCAATTTCGCATCTCACCTCCTTTACTATTGCCTTCTTTGTTTAATCTTTGTAGTAATCTCTAATTTGATGTATTTTGATTAATTTTCTTGAATATTTATTTTGTTGGTCACTGCAGCTCGTGAGAGAAACGAAGGCACCGAGGCTTTGGAAAATGAGGTAGATATTCATAAATATTTTCTAGCATTATAGATTTTCTATCCAGTTTCAGGTCTGAAGTGATGTTAATGTTTCGTATTTGATCAGACTGTGTTAGCTTTATACATACTTCAATTGAAAATTACATGTAGAGGTCGAATGTATGGCACTTTTGCTCCATATGTGACGAATTTGTGAATCTAACTCAAAGAAACCTTTCTAATCTTTGTACTTGAGGCGTAATTTGCTCTTGGTGTAGTTCCATTTGCTACTAATGATTAAATTAGGTTATAAAAGAGTGTAAAAATGTTAAGGTACTATTTGAGTGAGTCTGGTCTGTAAAGACCATCTTTCTCTTGTTTGACGCTTTTGCTAGGATTTTAATTTGAATGTTGAAGAGGATAGCAGGGAAGGGACATTGAAAAAAGAAAGAATTAGCATCTTCCCCAAATAAATTTCCGAGTGCTAGGAATTTATTGTGTAGTATGAGAAAATTGTGCTTTACGTTTGCATTTCAGAATCCTTCTAACCAAACAAATTTTTATGGAGTCCCAAACAACTTTTATGGAGTGCCAATGGCAATAGAGTGCTGGTTGTCTACCCCATGTTTTGTTTATTGTTCTTCGAATATCGGAGCTCCCTTTGGATTCTTTTTCTCTTGTTATAATTGTTGAGCTCTCTTTTAGAAGCCACTATCCATATTGCTCTGATTTTATGGGTCATCACTTGTTACTGAATATTATGCGTTACAGATTATGTTAAATCTTTTTGAAAATGGTCTTGTGTGGTAGTATTGATGCAACAATGCTTTGCACTATATTATATAGGCTTGACTGCATCTTTGAAGTGTAGATTGTCTAGGTGTTGTACCTCCTTGATTTGCGGACTTGGTAACTATATAGCTGTTACGCTGTCATGTGGCGGCAAGAGAGAAAATCATTGGTTAGTAAGAATGCAAAAACGTTGTTGATTATTAATCCAAATCTACATTGTACATGTATGTACCACCTAAGTTTGCTTTATCATCTCGAATAGGTGGTACTCTTAATATCCCCTCACACGTTGACTCTTAACCCTGTCTTTCTAGTCACTCGAATGATAACATTATCATAGTAATGCGTTATTGTTTCTTTTTAAATACGCCACATTCTGCCACAGTTAGATAGTCTAGTAACCAGCTTGTTTGTTCTTGTTTCCAAACCTTTACCCAATTCTCCTCAATTAACAAGTGCTCCCATTGTCAGTCACCCCCAATATGATACCAAGCTGAATTGGATACACTTGCTTTTACTTTTTGTTCAATCACTCTCCTAGTTTCATTGTTTGATCCATAAAATTTGATATTATGGCATCAGTGCATTTTGAATATCAATGGTAAAGTTATATGTAGGCATTGAGACACTTTCCATTTATTTAGTCAGTCATATTGCTTTAACTATATGGGTGATAACATATATCTTCTTCTAACAGACTATTAATTGAATATTTCTTTTGCCTACAACAGAGGGGATACACAAACGCAATTTTTTTTTATCTTATGCGTCATGGTAAAAAGTATTGAGTTCTACGATAATTGCTTATTTAGGGAGGCCTCATTAGGAATCACCTTGTTAAAGTTGGGTAACATCCAACGTTGTTGCAGAAGTTCGTTTAAATGGAAAATTTGCCTTCTCATCAATAAACTTTTCAGTCATCAACTAGTTGTGCCAAATTACTTTTATTTTTTTACTCTTTGTCATCTGCACTTCCTCCCCTTCAACCCTCCTCCTTCCTTCATGGATATTATTTGGCCATGCAACTTATCTTTCTTCTTTGGGGAAAGTCTGAAAAACACCCCTGTGGTTTTCAATTTGTGCGAATTAGACCCCTTTAGTTAAATTTGTTTATATAAATCCATACTAGATATAAAAATGTGCAATTAAGCACCTCCGATGAAAATTCCAGTAGAAATTGGACGTCAGTTAGTCATGTGATGGCACATGACCATTTTAAACCCTTTATTCCCAAAATTGCCCTTCTTATATTCCTTTACTACCCCTCACTATATATATATATATATTTGTATATAGTATATATGGGTTTTGAACTTCTGATTCTTGTAGATTTTGTAGTTTGCAGTTACACAGAGAGAGGGTAAGTTCAGAGTTGAGAACGGGAATAGAGATGGAGGCGATTGGGGAGGCTGAAATGATTTGCCCTAAAAAAAAATTATATAAAAAAGATCATAAAAAATTTCACCAAATAGGATTTAGTTTGCAAAACAAGAATTATAGACCTTGATTAGTTGATTTAAAAAAAAAAAAAAAAAAAAAATTAAAACAAAACCCATACATACAAGATAGCAGTTGCAGAGAGAGAGAGGGGGGCAAGCTTGAGAGTTGAGAGACAGTGGCCAGCGGCTGAAGCTTGCGAACGGCGAACCCGAACTGGAACAGCGAGTGATGGAAACTGAAAGATATGGGTTTTGATTTTTTGAACAATCTGAAATGATATGCCGATATGGGTTTTGATATAGGTAATAGGTTTTGAACTTTTGAAATGATATGCCGATATGGGTTTTGATATAGGTAATAGGTTTTGAACTTTTGATTCTTGCAGACAGATAGATAAACTGAAATATATGGGTTTTGAACTTCTGATTCTTGTAGTTTGCAGTTGCAGAGAGAGAGAGAGAGAAAGGGAGCAAGTTCAGAGTTGAGAATGAGAATAGAGATGGAGGCGATTGGGGAGGCTGAAACGACGTGGTATTGATAGAGGGCTATTTTAGTCTTTTCCCATTTTTTGTTATTTTATTATTATTTTAAATCATAGATAGAGGACTATTTTAGTCTTTTTGTAACTCCGGTACCGGTTAATAGAGGTCAACTCCTAAAAGGCACTAATCCGCACCATTTTTAAAGTATAGGGGAGGTGAACAAACAATGGGGGGTTATACGCACTATATTGATATCATAGGGGTGTAAAGCGCACGCGAGCCTTCTTCTTTTTAGATCGGTAAATTGATAACCTATATTTTCTCGAGATGAAACTCCGAACATTACAAATACTGATACCAACACTGAAGACAATGATATTGGCATACATTGAAGGTTCTTTTTGAATTAAATCCATTTGTTTGAAGGCGTCAGATGATACATCTATTACAAATATTTTTTAACTTTTTGTCTGCAATAGGCTCTATTAGCAGACTGCACTATCCATGCGCTTGACAGCTAATTATGTACTTGGTGTCCTGTTAAACTTTGAAAGGTGCAGGCAGGAGCTGGAACATCAAAGAAAAATAGGCCTACCTCAGGTATCTCTCATCATTATTTGACTTTTTCCAGCTGAGTTTTCGCACTTTCCTCGGACACGGATGGTGAACACTGAATAAAGGAACCTTGTCAATTATAAGGAAGATATGTTCTGGATTATCTATTTTGACTTTATCTATTTCTGAATTTGTTATGTCTCAACCAGGTTAATGGTATACCATTGTAGTGGGAATTTGCAAATGTTTCTATTACATGCACGCATATGAAATTCTTATTTTTTGGTAACGATTAATCAACCCACCTGCTAGCCACTTTGGACTCTCGGATGGTTTGCAAACTTCGGATATGTGTAATTACCCGCAAACCACACATATCATTTAAGCTGGGGTGTTTTTGCGCCTTGTGAGAATCGAACCCAAGATGTACGAGTTTACGGTTCCCCCCAAGAGAACCTTATCCACTTGGCCACCCGTGCGGGTTCTTATAAAATTCCTCTGTTGATAATCTTTGAAAGTTTTCATTGCTACAACACTCTTAGGGAAATTTAGGTGAGATGTAGTTTAAGTGCTTCCATTGCTTAATAGTTAATATATAGTTTTTGAGTGCCCGGTTTACTAAACTTGCTGATAGATTTTTTGGATTTATGAACAAAATGCATAGAGATATACTTGTACTAGTTTATAGGTCACATGCATTGCTGGTGATGACAAGATCATACTAAAGTTAGGTTGTTTGGCCACAAAGCATATAATATGTGTGAGACTGTTAGTGTATAATGTATATAAAATCTTGTGTCCCATACATAGCCTTCCGAACAAAAGAAAGACAATAAAAATATACGGAAATATTTCTGAATGAAAGCAAGAGACCTTGTAATTCACTGCAAACCTTCCTTTGAAACCAAAGCTTATTAACTATATTGAAAATTTATTCCTTGTGGATGAAATGGAAGTATAGTTTTCCATTTTTTTAACAGAAAAAAGTTCCATTTTAAAGGGGCCATAAGATCAAGAGCAAATAAATATTAAGTCTGTACATATTCAGAGAAGAATATCAAAGTCGAGAAGTCAAAATTTCCAGTCTCAAATACCAATTTAAAACTCATATGGTGAAAGCTAAATTATTTATTCTTTTTGTGATATTGGTATATTACTGCGATATTCTGCAGAAATTTGTGCAGATTATTATTCAATTCTCTGTTACTGATCAGATGTAAATACTTTGTACCTCATTCTTGCTATATAAACTGATTTTGAGAAGCATTATTGGTGTCCTACCTGAGAGGGTTTATAAAATTTACGTCTTCTGCACAAGTGTGTGGTAAATATTGTCATTTTAGTTATTTTTCTTTCTGCAAACATTGATGCAGCTAATACAAGTGCCCTGAAGCTGAGCTGTGAACTTCTCCGAGTTTTTGTCACAGGTTCCTGTCTAAAATAAACTATGTGCTTGCTAGGGTGCATTTTTGTTTTATTTTCATGTTTTTTCTCAATAACTTCCAAGATTCTGTTGATGTAGAGGCTGTTCAACGTGCTGCTACTATTGCTGAGGCAGAAGGTGTTGGTAAAATAGAAGCTACTCATCTGGAAAGGATTCTGCCACAATTACTTCTAGATTTTTAAGGTAATAATCTTCAGAGTACAGTAGCGACTTTTCATCTGTAGCAATTTAGATTTTAAGGGAACTTTTCATTTTCTTTTTCCCAGCTATTCCAATTTAGACGTTATTTTTTTTTTTCCTAAATCCAATTGAGACGTTATTATTAGTGGCTTCGAGGAAGAACTGTATGTAGAGGACCAGAGGTAGTTTGAGAATTAATCATAGCAATTGATGCAACCCAATTATTGTTGTAGTTGGAAATGGGAACATTGCATATCAATGTAAACTGCTTCGGTGTGAGTTCAGTTAGATATTTTTTCCATCTTTTTATTTATCTTCAATTAATTGAAAATTAGTTAAAGCTTTGATACACTTGCTTTGTGTTGTTCTTGGTGGGCTCATTCATGCAATTGGAAATCATTTGTCTTGCTTATGAACTTTTTATTTTTATATTTATTTATTTTATTTATTCTTCTACACTTACTAGTAGGGATGATCATTTCACTTCTATAGAATTGCAGCTTTGGTCAACTATGATATTGTGAAGGGCTAAACAAGAATGCCTACTACAACTTCTTCAGAGTAGACATGGAGCACGGCCATGTTGGCGTCTCTGTGGTGGTGTGACTGGTGTCATATTCGTAGGCATGAAACACACCTAATGCTTTTTAAAATTTCCTTTACTTTCCTGGTGATGTTAATTATCAAGATATTTATCTCCTGTTATTTATCTGGATGTTCATTCGGTTGGCCGGGTTAGTTGAGTGTAGCAGATTAAAATTTTTCTGTGATGAAACAGTTTCTATATATCTTATTTTGGCCATCCTTGTTACGGTGACCATATTATGACCTAGCTCCTCTCCTAGTCCGAAGGCAATCAAAGCCATGAATGAGAGACTAGATGAGCAAAAGAGGATTTGGATATAAATTTATTGCTCTCGCTCTTACTGTTGGAGTAATTATGATTTTTGACCTACTCAAGTGAGTAATATTCCAAAATATGATTAGTGTTCTGTGTGTTGCATGTTTTTCTTTTGACTAAAGCTTCGTCCTATACAGCCCTATAGTCAATAATCTGTAGCGATTTCACACACACGCACACCCCTCTCCATGATGAAGCTGCTCTTTTACAGTAATGTCCGATTTTACTGGTTTTTCCAATGCCAGTCATGGAGAATGGTTGGTGGTTATTAGAATCTCCATCTCCGTGTCTCTCTCACTATCCGTCTCTCTCTCTCTCATTATTATTATTATTATTATTATTATTATTATGTATTTTGCTATGTATAATGTCACTCTCTCTCACTTATACATTATTAGTAACTTTTCTTTAATCAAGGAGAAGATAAAGCTAGTTAAAGTCACCTGTAGGAGGAAGAAGGTTTGGGTTGGGTGGCTGATGAAAAACCTTTTAATTATGTTTGGGTAAAGTGGAAGGAGAGAGAAGGAAATAATGTCATTTTTCAACCTTTATTCGGAACACTCAAAATCAATAGACTTACGTGAATATGAACAAGATAAAGCTAGCTATTTCCCAGAAATTAATAACAATGTGATCAAAGCCGCACTACTGAATTTGTTTGGTATGGTTTCATATCAAAGATGAGAAAAGTTGAGAGACTGAGGAAACATGGGCCCGCATTATTTTCTTTGAAATAAAATGGTGAATGGACTTGGAAAATCAAAAAGTAACGTGAAAATTGATTCATTAATTTCATTCAAAGGAAATTTCTGCTTTGAACAATGGCAGGAGGTGCTAGGAAACCTCGTTATAGTAACACTGAAATTTAGAAATTAGAGGGTTGAGTCTTCAGTCCGCTCGAGTTAGCCCACACATTTTTTGGTCTTGCATAGCTGGAAATATCATTAAAAAATATGTATAATGAAGCCAAGCAAATCTAAAAATAAAATAATCATTGATGGTGTATATCTGTAACTAATATTGCAACTGTGGCTATTATTTGCCAAAACTTGTCAAGTGAAACTAGACCAGTAGAACCCACCAAGGGTTGAAGCATAATAATATTTTTTTACTTTTTAAAGTAGAAGTTTGAAGATTTAAACAATTATATAATTGTGACAGTTCAAAACACTCAAGGAATTGTTTGCACTCAAGAGGAGTTGAATCTTGTATGACGGACCCAGATAAATATGTGGGGGGGGGGGGGGGGTTAATTTTAACCAAATTTAAAAAAAAAAAAAAAAAAAAAATGTTGTGGAGGCAATAGTGAAAATTTTCTATAATTTCAGGAGGGCAAAATTTAAATTTTATAGGTATATAAATAAATAAATTTAGATCCATGCATGTTTTCCGAGACACTATTACCAAGTTCTTACCAACCCTACCCTTGACACTTTGACATGAATTGCAATGATATGCAAGAAGGTAACTAACTCTTTTTTTTTTTTCTTTTTTTTAACACTAAATGGGGGCCAATTATGATTTTACATATTATTGTTTTTTTATTTATTAAAATACACTCATATGGTTCAAGACTTCGGCTTTACATATTATTGTTTTTTTTATTTATTAAAATACACTTATATAGTTCAAGACTTCAAGCCGAGTTTGATGAATACTGAGATAATCCATTGCCATTACTTTTCAGATAAGGAATATTCAAGGATCATGACAAGCATTTGTTGTAGTCGGAAGTATTAAGTTTGTTTCCTAGAAGTAGAAAACCAAGAACCCTGTGACTTTTATCCGCACTTTCCCCTCTTAGTTGCCTCAAGAACTATACTTATAAAATGTCATTATATATGCTTTTACACACACACACACACACAAATAGAGTACCCCAAATCCTCATAAGTAATGGGTAGGCAACAAAATTGAGATTAAAATTTATAAAAATAAAATAATAATAATAATGACGGGCAAACATACCATTTTCATCATATCATGCAAACCTCAACCTTCATACTTTGGATCAACAATATGACTTAATAATGCAATAGATGCCATTCATTCAATCATTGAATCAGAATGACATATTCCAATTCATGTTTTTTTTGTTAAAATATTCCCATTCATGTTGACAAAGCTTACAATGACACTTTCCAAAAATAGAAAAGACAAAAAGCAAAGATTCTTAAATCACATGCAGCATTATTTTACACACTAGTACACATTTTACATTTTATTCCACTTTCTCATGCATAACCTAGCTAATGCTTGATTTGGGTCAGCATGCACCTAATGTCCTTGCTATTAGGCCTCTGTTTAGGGTCCCCAAGAGTGCAAAAGCAAGCTATCTTGAGCACCAAAAGCATTTGCTCCTCGTATCCATTCCCCACAAGTTTAGGGTCAATTGCCCTACTTGGGGTCTCAGAAGCCATCACATTTCTCATCCACTTCTCAAAACTCTTCTCAGTGGTGGTTTGCCAAAACTCATCGGAAGGCACCTTTCCCATCACCAAAACCCCCAACAACACTCCTAAGCTATACACGTCGCACTTGTCAGTAAACTTGAGCGTCTGGTAGTACTCGGGGGCGATGTAACCCACCGTTCCCGCCACGCTGGACGTCGTGCCATGGGTGATGGCCTCGGGAATCGCCTTGGCGAGCCCGAAATCACTGATCCGAGCCTCCATGTCAACGTCCAAGAGAATATTACCGGGCTTTATATCTCTGTGAATAATCATGGGGGTGTGGCTCATGTGCAGGTACTCGAGCCCGGCTGCGATACCTATTGCAATTCTGTGCCTAGCCAACCAGTCCAATTCTCTATTCCCTTGTGACACATCGTTCAACACATCTTGTAAACTCCCATTTTTCATGAGCTCGAAGACCAAGTAGTGACAATCGGGCCTTGACACGTGGGCTAAAAGGGCAAGAAGATTCCGGTGCCGACCCACCGTAATGATTTCCGACCTAATCTGACGCATTTTTTTGTTCGGAAGCTTACTGTCTTCGTCGGCGAGCTCTGCAGCATCCTTTGGGGGTTGGATGATCTTCTTTATAGCAACCATTTTTCCGTCGCTGCCGGGTAAAACCGCCCGGTAAACCTCTCCGCAGCCACCTCTTCCGATGATTTCCAGCGAAGCTAATCCGTCGTCTTTCTCGAGAAATGCTAAGTCCTCTTTCTTGATCAATGAACTGTAGATTGCCGGACCGGACACTTTTACTCTGCCTTTGACCAACACCAGAAGCACCTTAAACAGGACCGAAAAGATCAGCCCGGAAACGGCTCCGACGAATGCTCCGGCGAGGAACCCGATTATTGACCCTTTTAGCTTCTTCTTGTTTTTGTGATGTTTTGGCGCCATTGCAGAGGTTTGATTTTGGTTATTAGTCTGAGCAAATATATACCGCTTTGGAATTGTATTCTGTGATGAAATTTCGACTCGGCTCATCACCGAAGAACCGTCCAGAAAATCATTGCCGGAGATGTTGAAGAACCGGAGGTTTCTGAAGGATCGCACTGAAATGGGTACCTTTCCGGCGAAATTGTTGTCTGCGAGAGAGAGTTTTTCGAGGTTCGGAAAGTATTTCAGGAAATTCAAATTCCCGGAAAATTTATTGGAAGAGAGGTCAAGAACTCGAAGTCGAATTATGGAGGATATCTCCGCCGGTATATCACCAGAAAATTGGTTTTTCTGGAGGTTCAGAACTTCCAATTTCCGGCAATTCGCGATTTGAGGCGGGATTTGGTCGACGATTCTGTTGTCGGAGACGGAGAGCTCTTTGAGCTCAGACAACCGTCCGATCGCTGGAGAGAGGAATCCATCGAGCCGCTGAGACTTGAAGACGAGACGGTGGATTCTGAGAACGTACGAATTGTTTGAAATTCGCCGCTCACAGAATACTCCGGCGGAGTTGCAGGGGCTTTGGGTGTCCATGGAGAAGCGTTGACCGTTGACTCTGAAGTCTTTTTGGATGATCAAGAGAGCTTCGCGGTCTGAAGAATGGAGGCTGAGATTTGCATGGGCGAGGAGGGTGAGAGTGAAGAGAAAGAGGTGAGAGAAATGGGTTTTCCGGTGGTTGAAGGCCATTGGAGTCAGAACGCCGCCGTGAAGAGGAGGGTGGTGGTGGTAGTGGTCGTGGTGGTGGTGGTGGTGTTCTGTTAGTGGAGTCATGAGTGTGAGTTTGGTTGGATTTTTACACAAGGGAACGCGTTGTGGAATTGGGAAGTCGTTGGACCCAGTGGCCGTGTGGAAAAAAGTTGGGCTATGGGCCCATTAGAAGGATTTCAGTCGGGTATTGAGAAACAACTTGATACTCTTGTAACAGTTGTGCGCGGAATCGCAAAAGTAAGGAAGTTTGAGGAGTAAAACAAGTAATTATGAAAAAATAATAATAATAATCACACAAAATAAACAATGGAGAATTTCCTCTTAATCTCTCTCAATTGCTTTTTCTAACATAGACACGAATCAATTAATCATTTACGTTTTCTCTAAAATCTGATTAGGTTTGGATATAAATTTATCACTCTCACTCTTACGGTTGGAGTAATTATGATTTTTGACCTGCTCAAGTGAGTAATATTCCAAAATATGATTAGTGTTCTATATGTTGCATGTTTTTCTTTTGACTAAAGCTTTGTCCTATAGAGCCCTATAGTCAATAATCTATAGTGATTTCACACACACACACACACATCTCCATGATGAAGCTTGTTGATGATGGATTCTGCGCAACTCGGATCTGATCTAACTTCCTGGACAGAGAGAAAAAAAGGTGATCCTACAAGCACCGGTGTGTTACTGGTGGAGTAGGCTCCGACGAATAAGTCAGTGTGCGAACTAATCTCTTAAGAGAAATCAAGAACTTGAGTTAGGATTTTTTGCGTACCTCCAAACGTTGATTACCCCGCCTTTTTTATAGGGCTTAGGTTAAGATGTCACGTAAAATTACCTTATTGTAATCTGTAGACTTAATCCTCATCGTAATCTTTAATCCTTATCACAATCTTTAATCCTTATCGTAATCTGTAAAGCCTATCTCAATCTGTGATCCTTATCGTAATCTGCAGAGCCTATCTCAATAGTGCGTTAATTTAGCAATCTTCCCTTAATTATGGATATTTAAATTATACATCCATCAGTTGCCCCCCGTTTTGGAGGATTGCTTGTCAAACCACCGGAACGTTAATTCCAAAATATCACACAATAATATATAGTTAGAATTGCAGAGCTTTGTCCATTAGCCTGACTTATATTGTCATTTCGCGAATACAGTCGGGGGTCATAGTATCACATTGGTAGCTCGTATATGTGGCAAGTTCGTATATTTGTCGTATATTGGCAAGCTTGTATATTTGTCGTAGTGCCACGTTGGCAGCTCGTATATGTGGCAAGCTGCCATGCTGGTAGTCTACCGTTATGTGGCAAGCTGCCATGCCATGCTGCCGTGACAAGCTGTCCTGCTGGCATGCTGCCGTTATTTGGCAGGTTGCCTTGCTAGCATGCTGCCTTTATTTGGCAAGCTGTTATGCTAGCATGCTGCCGTTATTTGGCAAGCTGCCCTGCCAGCATGCTACCGTTATTTGGCAAGCTGCCCTACTGACATGCTGCCTTTATTTGGCAAGCTGTCATGCTGGCATGCTGCCTTTATTTGGCAAGCTGCCCTGCTGGCATGCTCCCATTATTTGGTAAGCTGCCCTGCTGGCATGCTGCCTTTATTTGGCAAGCTGCCCTGCTGGCATGCTCCCATTATTTGGCAAGCTGCCCTACTGGCATGCTACCGTTATTTTATACTTGATTTTATTGACATCTTTAGTCGGCTCGTCCCTTTAATAAGGAAAGTAGATTAAAACGAGTTTCACGTAGCTCGTAATAAGGTAAGTAGATGAATACGAGCTTCACTCAGCTCACCCTTTAACAGGGGAAGTAGATTACTATGAGCTTCACCCAGCTCACATTTTAACGAGGGAAGTAGATTACTATGAGCTTCACTCATCGGGGAAGTAGATTACTATGAGCTTCACCTAGCTCACCTTTTAACGAGGGAAGTAGATTACTATGAGCTTCACTCATCTCACCCTTTAACAAGGGAAGTAGATTAATACGAGCTTCACCCAGGTCGCCTTTTAACAGGGGAAGTAGATTACTATGAGCTTCACTCAGCTCACCCTTTAACAAGGGAAGTAGTTAACCCCTCATCTTTTTACGAGGGAAGTAGATTACTATGAGTTTCACTCATCTCACCCTTTAACAAGGGAAGTAGATTAATACGAGTTTCACCCAGGTCACCCTTTAACAGGGGAAGTAAATTACTATGAGCTTCACTCAGCTCACCCTTTAACAAGGGAAGTAGTTAACCCCTCATCTTTTTACGAGGGAAGAAGATGAAACTGACCCTTCATTCTTTTAAGGGGGAAAGAGGTGTGGTCTTGACATGGGAGTCATCTCCTCTGATGGTTGTCTCGGGATGTTGGCAAATCATTGACACTTGTCGCACTTTTTAACGAAGTCAAGTGCATCTTTCTGTATGGTGGGCCAATAGTATCCTAGTCGGATGGCCTTGTTACCAAGTGACCTACCCCCAGCATGGTTTCCACAAACTCCTAGGTGGATCTCCCTTAAAATGTAGTCAGCTTCCTCGCTAGAAACGCATCGTAAATATGGCATGGAGAAGCTTCTCTTGTTGAGCACCCCTTTGATAAGCGTACACCTAGCTGCCCGCATCTTGACCTTTCGAGCTTCTGCTCGGTCTGTTGGTAGCACCCCATCCTTGATATATCTGATGATAGGATCTGCCCATTCCACACTCAATATCGCTTGTTGCACTTCAATTTGTCTCTCCTGAGATATAAATGGTTCTTCCAAATATTCCAATGGTATATTCTTATTGATCTCAGGTTCAATGCAGTAGCTAGCCGGGCTAAAGTGTCTGCTTTCTTATTCTCTTCTCGTGGTATTTGATGAATTGAGAATCTTTGGAAGTGATTCTTTAATTCCTTCACCTTTTGTGGGTAACTCTTCATCTTCTCGTCTCGTGCCTCATATTCCGCTTGAACTTGTCCAGCGACCAGGTCGGAGTCGGTGTACATATTTAATTGCTCAACCCCTAGGGCATTTGCCACTTTTAATCCTGCTATCAAAGCTTCGTACTCTGCTTTGTTGTTGGTTGCTTTGAAACTAAACCGAAGTGCGTACTGTATACTTTCTCCCTCTGGGGAGACAAGAACAAGCCCGGCTCCGCTAACCTGAACATTAGATGACCCATCCACGAACAAGTCCCAGACTACTTCTGGGCCCATTTGCTCACTTAAACCTGGTTCTGTCGAAAATTGGGGTTGTTTCTCCTCTTCTGGAGGGGTAAACTCAGCTAAGAAATCAGCCAACACCTGAGCCTTTACTGCTGTTCTTGGCTTATACTGAATATCGAACTCTTCTAACTCTACTGACCACTTCATCAGTCGACCAGAGCTTTCTGGCTTGTGTAGGACCTGTCGAAGGGGTTGATCTGTTAGGACCACTATCGTATGCGCTTGAAAGTATAGTCTCAGTTTCCTGGCGGACACAATTAAAGCAAAGGCCAACTGTTCCATCCTTGGATATCTTTCCTCCGCACCCCTAAGTGCTCTGCTCACGAAGTATACTGGCCTTTGGACCCCTTCTTCTTCTCGTATCAGAGCTGAATTGACAGCTGTCGTGGAGACTGCAAGGTATATGTATAGTTCCTCTCCCGGTATGGTTCGAGACACTAGTGGGAGAGAACTAAGGTATTGCTTTAGTTCTTTGAACGCCTGATTACACTCTGGGGTCCATTCCAACGCCTTCCTTAGCACACGAAAGAAAGGTAGACACCTGTCAGTTGACCGAGAGATTAGCCTACTCAAGGCAGCAATCTTCCCTGGTAGTCATTGTAGATCTTTGGTTGATCTTGGCGATCTCATGTCAATGACTGCTCGGATCTTCTTTGGATTGACCTCAATTCCTCTTCTACTTACCATATATCCTAAGAACTTTCCTGAGGAAACCCCAAAGGCACACTTGCTAGGGTTGAGTTTCATCTTATGCCTCCTAAGTACCTCGAAGGTCTCCTGCAGGTCAGTCAAATGGTCTTCAGCTTTTAAGCTTTTCACCAACATGTCATCAACATATACCTCCATGATTCTACCAATTTGATGCTTAAACATTACATTCACTAGCCTTTGGTATGTTGCACCAGCGTTCTTGAGCCCAAACGGCATTACTTTGTAACAGTACAAACCTCTATCAGTGATGAAGGCCATTTTTTCTCTATCTGAGGTGTACATAGATATCTGGTTGTATCCAAAATATGCATCCATGAAACTTAATAGTTCGTGTCTAGCCGTTCCCTCAACGTGCATATCGAGTCTTGGGAGAGGAAAGCTGTCATTCGGGCAAGCTTTGTTAAGGTCGGTGAAATCCACACATAGCCTCCACTTTTCATTTGCCTTCTTCACTAAGACCACATTTTCCAGCCAGTCGGGGTAGTACACCTCGTGAATAAAGTCGACTTTTAAGAGCTTTTTCACCTCTTCTGATATAGCCTGATTCCTTTCTGGAACGAAAGTCCTCCTCTTTTGTCTGACAGGTTTAAAGTCAGGATTTACATTTAAACGGTGCTCCATGATAGTGGGGTCTATACCCGGCATGTCTTCATACAAATACGTCTCGATTCTTCCTGAGGAATTAAGTAAGTTCATCTTTGATACCTGGGGGGAGTAAAGACCCTATACTCACTTTTTTCTCGGGCTCACCATCACCAAGGATGACCTCTTCTAGCTCTTCTGTAGGTTCCGCTCTATGAAAGTCTGGTCTATCTTTCCCTTACAGCCCTTCAATCGTAAATGCCTCTTGCGATTTTGTTTTCTGAGAGAGGCGACATAACATTCGCGAGCTATTGTTTGGTCCCCTCTTAGCTCTCCCATACCATATTCGGTTAGGAAACGCATCAGGAGATGGTAAGTGGACGTGATTGCTTTCATGGCATTCAATGTTGTCCTCCCCAGGATAAAATTATATGATGATGGGCAGTCCACCACTACAAAGTCCACCATTACAGTGACCTGCTTTGGATTGGCTCCTGCAGTAACTGGAAGGGTAACTACCCCCAGTGGATATACTTTGTCGCCTGAAAATCCCACCAGTGGTGACTTCATGGGTCGGAGCTTCTCTCGACCAATTTTCAATTTCTCGTACGCCCTAAGAAATAGTATGTCAGCCGAGCTACCATTGTATATCAGTATTCGTCGAACAGTGAAATTAGCAACGACCATGGAAACTACCAGAGGGTCATCATGGGGCTGGTGAATTCCCTTGTCATCTTCTTCAGAAAAGGTTATGACCGGCTCCTCAACTCGAGGTAATTTTGTTGGAGGACTTGTCATTCCAACTTCATTCACCTCTGAAAAACTCCGAATTCTCCTAGCATGAGCCCTCCGAGCCGAACTTGTCTCACCACCACCAGCGAAGCCACCCGATATAACTTTGATCTCACCCATTAGTTGGTGTTGAGGAGGGCGATCATCTCGGCCCTCCCGGGCTAGGTTGGAGCCTCTTTTTCCATTTCTAGTTGTGAATTTGCGTAAATGACCTTTACGAACAAGGTTCTCGATCTGGTTTTTGAGGTCGAAACAATCTTCTGTGTTATGTCCATGGTCCCGGTGAAACCTACAATATTTACCTAGAGACCTCTTTGTTGGATCAGCTTTTAGCTTTGGCGGCCATTTCAATGATGCGTCATCTTGAATCTGCAGAAAGACTGGCTCTACAGATGTATTTAGGGGGTATAGTTATTATACCTGCCTTGGCTCACTGGGCGGCGAGACGATATGTCAGCCTGGTTGTTTGAGAATTTCTTGTACTTCGATTCCTTTTCCTCCCTAGTGTTAGGTGCTGGCCTCTTCTTCTCCAACCTCTTATCTTCACCATCTTTGTTTTTTCGTGCATTCATAGCATCCTCAACGTTCATGTGCTTCCACACTCTAACCATCAACTCTGTCATGCTTGTAGGGGCTTCTTTTGATAAGGAAAATAGGAACTTAGAAGTCTGTAGTCCTCCCATAAAGGTTGTGAGGGCAACCTTGTCATCCACCTCTTCTACCTGCAGCATATCAGCGTTAAAACGACTTATGTAACCATGGAGAGGCTTTCCCTTCTACTGTTTCACATTCAATAAGTGTGTTGCTGTCTCCTATGCCTCTGCCCAGCTATGAAGTGTCCAATGAATTGTTTGCTCAACTCATTAAAGATTTCAATGGAGCCTGGCTTTAATTTATTGAACCAAAGACGAGCCCAACCCTTTAGTGTGGTAGGGAAAGCCCTGCACATAATCTCATCCGGTACGACTTGCAAATACATAAGAGCTTTGTAGGTCTCTAAATGATCGAGTGGGTCCTGCGTCCCATCGAAGCTCTCAAGAGTTGGCATCTTAAATTTGCTAAGTAGAGGACAACTCATAACATAACAGCGAGGCTAAATGCTAGGTTGGTCTTCTGTACCAGATCGTTCACTGTGGCCTGGCCCTTCCCTTTCATTGCTTGCATGACGTCTTTGACCCTAGTTCTCAGATCTTGCATCTACAGATTGAAATAAGTGACGTCTTCAGTCTTGTCACCAACACAACCAGAGGTACCTGCACGGAGCCTGGTATTATTCCGTTCAAGAGACCGATGGTGATGGTTTCTCTGTTGACCCCCTATTTGACTAAGCTCAGCGTCGTTGTTAATCCTACGGGAGTCATTATTGGGTACTTCATTATTCTCCACCTCATTAAGGTCGGCTAAGCGTTGTAGAATCATTGAATTTTTCTGGACTAATTGGTTTATTCCCTTATTTAAGGTTTAAACCTATTGTTCCAACGCTGTGACGCGTTCCTGATCGTTTGGGACGGCGGGGGGTTGCCTCGTCGAGTCCCTTTGATCAGAAGTTTGCAACGCTTCGTATTCGCCAGCAACCAGACCAGATCGTAATCGAACCATACTTTATTTAGAGAACTAAAATCGTTCCCACAAACGGCGCCAACTGTTGATGATGGATTCTGCGCAACCCGGATCTGATCTAACTTCCTGGACAGAGAGAAAAAAAGGTGATCCTACAAGCACCGGTGTGTTACCGGTGGAGTAGGCTCCGACGAATAAGTCAGTGTGCGAACTAATCTCTTAAGAGAAATCAAGAACTTGAGTTAGGGTTTTTTGCGTACCTCTAAACGTTGATTACCCCGCCTTTTTTATAGGGCTTAGGTTAAGATGTCACGTAGAATTACCTTATTGTAATCTGTAGACTTAATTCTCATCGTAATTTTTAATCCTTATCACAATCTTTAATCCTTATCGTAATCTGTAAAGCCTATCTCAATCTGTAATCCTTATCGTAATCTGCAGAGCCTATCTCAATAGTGCGTTAATTTAGCAATCTTCCCTTAATTATGAATATTTAAATTATACATCCATCAAAGCTGCTCTTTTACAGTAATGTCCGATTTTAGCTGTGGTTTAAAAATTCTATAGGACTGGTTTTTCCAATGCCCGTAACGGAGAATGGTTGGAGGTTCTTAGAATCTCCCCGTTGGACATAGATTCAATTGTTCAATTTTTTTTGATGTCTCTATCTCTCTCACTATCCGTCTCTCTCTTATTATTATTATTATTATTATTATTATCTATTTTGCTATGTATAATGTCACTAGTGTACCATATTTGGAAGGAAAGGAATGCTCGCATCTTCAAAGGTTCCAAATTATCCCAAAACTCACTCCTGACAAGGGTTTCTAACAGCATCTCTTCAATCCTAAAATTGGGGTTCTAAGGAGCTCCATTGCATGAGCTGCTGAAGGACTGGGGCCTTTCTCATTCTTGCTGCCGTTCTCCGCCAAGGCCGCCAGATTGAGTCTCGAAGCAGAGGGTTATCTCTGCCGTCACAGGCCATGCCACCGGAATCGCTCTTGAAATTCTCCAGTAACGGCTTCATGACTGTCACTGTCTGATTTCTTTGTTTTAGGTTTTGGCCCTTCGGCTATTCTGTTGTTAGTGGATTGGTTTGTTTGGTTTTGGGCTTGTTTTAGGCTCCTGCTCCCCAAATGTACTGGCCAAACGCCTTTCAAGTACTTTTCTCTATTTTATTTATATATTAACTTCACTTTTCGGAAAAAAAAAAAAAAAAAAAAAAAAAAAAAAAAAAAAAACCCTTTAATCAGAACACTCAAAAATCCATAGACTAGGCCGCACTTGCCACTACTGAATTTGTTTGGTATGGTTTCATATTAAAGATGAGAAAAGTTGAGAGACTGAGGAGACATGGAACGCATTAAAAAATTTATGCCTTGCGCAATGGCAGGGGCTAGGAAACTCATCATAGTAACACTGAAATTTAAAAATTAGAGGGTTGAGTCTTCAGTCAGCTCGAGTTAGGGACCCCACATTTTTTGGTCTTGCCCAGCTTGAAGTATCATTAAAAAATATATAATGAAAGCAAATCTAAACATAAAATAATCGTTGATTGTGTATGTATCTGTAACTAATATTGCAACTGTGGCTATTATTAGGTAAAACTTGTCAAGTGAAACTTGGCCAGTAGAACTCCACCAAGGGTTATAGGGTAATAATATTTTTTCACTTTTTGAAGTATAAGTTCGAGGTTTTAAGTCTTCATAGAATCCGCGAAAACGATCCGATCCGATTCGTGCAGATTTGATCGAATTTCTACATCCATGGATCAATGACAAATATAAAAAAATTGAATTCATAATTCACAAATCGGATCACGGATTGAGTTATTAAAATTCGATCCGATCGTGAGATTTATATATATAATACGGAGTATATATATATTTAAAGAATGTATTAGTTAATATAATTAGTTAATGATCATTTAGTGGAGTCTAAGAATATATTAGTTAATGATGAATTAATGTCGATAAATTAAAATTTTATCTATTAAGCTATGGTTAAAATATAAATAATATTAGATTATATAGGAAAGTTCTCAATATGCGAATCTTATCGGTTATCCCAAGGATCGATGACGAATTTAAAATTTTTCAATTTGTTGGGAATCCGATCCGATCACAAAGTGAGTATATGAGTGATTCTTATAAAACAAAAACAAAAAAACAATTATATAAGTGTGACGGTTCAAAACATTCAAGGAATTGTTTACACTCAAGAAGAGTGTAATCATAGATGTGATTAGGGATGGACTCAGATAAGTAAGTGAGTGAAGGCGAACTTTAATAACATATATATATATATATATGGGGGCAATAGTGAAATCTCTCTATAATTTTACGGGGCCAAAATTTAAATTTTATAGGTATATATAAAAAATTAAAAAAAAAAAAAAGTAGATAAAAAATACAAAAGGAAAGATTATATTGGGAATATTCATAGCCATTACTTTCAGATGAGGAATACACTCATATAGTTCAAGACTGTTGAATAGTAGATCATCCATAGCCATTACTTTCAGATGAGGAATATTCAAGAATCATGACAAGCATTTGTTGTAGTTAGAAGTACTAGTAAGTTTCCTAGAAGTAGAAAACCAAAGAACCTATGACTTTTATGTGCACTCTCTCCTCTCAGTTGCCTCAAAAACTATACTTATAATATGTCATTATATATGCTTTTACACACACACAAGTCATCATTATACAGAACCCCAAATCCTCATGAGTAATGGGTAGGCAACAAAATTGAGATTAAAAATTGTAAAAACTAAAAATAAAAAAAAAAAAAATAATAATAATAATAATAATGACAGACAAATATACAATTTTCATCATATATCATGCAAGCTTCAGCCTTCATACGTTGGATCAACAAGATAACTTATTGCAATAGATGCCATTCATTCAATCATTGAATCAGAATGACATATTCCAATTCATGTTGATAGGGCTTACAATGCCACTTTCCAAAAATAGAAAAGACAACTAGTAAAACTTACTGAATTTTACAACTTAAAGAGTGAAACTTTCTACTTGAAGCAAAAATTCTTAATCACATGCATCATTATTTTACACACCAGTACACATTTTACATTTTATTCCACTTTCTCATGCATACCCTAGCTAATGCTTGATTTGGGTCAGCATGCACCTAATGTCCTTGCTATTAGGCCTTTGTTTAGGGTCCTCAAGAGTGCAAAAGCAAGCAATCTTGAGCACCAAAAGCATTTGCTCCTCGTATCCATTCCCCATAAGTTTAGGGTCAATTGCCCTACTTGGGGTCTCAGAAGTCATCACATTTCTCATCCACTTCACCAAACTCATCTCAGATGTGGTTTGCCAAAACTCATCGGAAGGCAACTTTCCCATCACCAAAACCCCCAACAACACTCCGAAACTATACACGTCGCACTTGTCGGTAAACTTGAGCGTCTGGTGATACTCGGGGGCGATGTACCCCACCGTTCCCGCCACGTTGGACGTCGTGACATGGGTGATCGCCTCGGGAACCGCCTTGGCGAGTCCGAAATCGGCAATCCGAGCCTCCATTTCATCATCCAAGAGAATGTTACCAGGCTTTAGATCTCTATGAATAATCCTCGGAGAGTGGCTCAGGTGAAGGTACTCGAGCCCAGCTGCGATACCTTTTGCAATTTTGTGCCTAGCCAACCAGTCCAATTCTCTATTCCCGTGTGCCACATCGTTCAACACATCTTGTAAACTCCCATTTTTCATGAGCTCGTAGACCAAGTAGTGACAATCGGGCCTTGACACATGGGCTAAAAGGGGAAGAAGATTCCGGTGCCGGATATTACCCACCGTATTGATTTCCGACCTAATCTGACGCATTTTTTTGTTCAGAAGCTTACTGTCTTCGTCGGCGAGCTCTGCAGCATCCCTTGGGGGTTGGATGATCTTCTTTATAGCAATCATTTTTCCGTCGCTGCCGGGTAAAACCGCCCGGTAAACCTCTCCGCAACCACCTCTTCCGATGACTTCCAGCGAAGCCAATCCGTCGTCTTTCTCAAGAAATGCTAAGTCCTCTGCTTTCTTGATCAATGAACTGAATATTGCCGGACCGGACACCTTTACTCTGCCTTTGACCAACACGAGAAGCACCTTAAACAGGACCGAAAAGATCAGCCCGGAAACGGCTCCGGCCAGTGCTCCGGCGAGGAACCCGATTATTGACCCTTTTAGCTTCTTCTCGTTTTTGCGATGTTTTGGTGCCATCGTAGGCGACGGAGCTGGGGCTGCGCCGAAATAACCCGGAGAAGGGGCCACTGCAGAGGTTTGATTTTGCTTAGTTAAATTAGTCTCAGCAAATATATACCGCTTTGGAATTGTAATCTGTGATGAATATTCGACTCGGGTCATCACCGGAGAACCGTCCAGAAAATCATTGCCGGAGATGTTGAAGAGCCGGAGGTTTCTGAAGGATCGCACTGAAATGGGTACCTTTCCGGCGAAATTGTTGTCTGCGAGAGAGAGTTTTTCGAGGTTCGGAAAGTATTTCAGGAAATTCAAATTCCCGGAAAACTTATTGGAAGAGAGGTCAAGAACTCGAAGTCGAATTAAGGAGGATATCTCCGCCGGAATATCACCGGAGAATTGGTTTTTCTGGAGGTTCAGAACTTCCAATTTCCGGCAATTCGCGATTTGAGGCGGGATTTGGTCGACGATTCTGTTGTCGGAGACGGAGAGTTCTTTGAGCTCAGACAACCGTCCGATCGCTGGAGAGAGGAATCCGTCGAGCCGCTTAGACTTGAAGACGAGACGGTGGATTCTGAGAACGTACGAATTGTTTGAAATTCGCCGCTCACAGAATACTCCGGCGGAGTTGCAGGGGCTTTGGGTGTCCATGGAGGAGCGTTGACCGTTGACTCTCAAGTCTTTTTGGATGATCAAGAGAGCTTCGCGGTCTGACGAATGGAGGTTGAGATTTGCATGGGCGAGGAGGGTGAGAGTGAAGAGAAAGAGAAGAGAGAAATGGGCTTTCCGGTGGTTGAAGGCCATTGGAGTCAGAACGCCGCCGTGAAGACGAGGGTGGTGGTGGTAGTGTGGTGTTCTGTTACTGGAGTTATGGGTGTTAGTTTGGTTGGATTTTTATACAAGGGAACGCGTTGTGGACTTGGGAAGTCGTTGGACCAATTGGCCGTGTGGAAAAAGTTGGGCTATGGGCCCATCAGAAGGATTTCATTTTCATATGTTAGGCAGATTTCCCAAATTGCCCTTAAAATTAGTAAATTGGGTGAAGGAATCGGAATTTAATGATAAATTTTTTGTTGAAAATTAAGATTATTAAATAATGTAAATAATAAAAATATATTATAAAATATCAGGTTTTTATTTTTTATTTTTTAATACACTGTACACAATACCACCAATTATAGTAATGTGTTTTTCTAAGAATATAAAATAATTTGACAATAAGAGGACAAGAAGCATCTTTAGCTTGATGTGGTTTTCCAATATATCATATTATTTATTTATTTTTATTTTTTTTGAAAGTTTCATCCAATTTTATATATTATTGTGTTTCTATTGTCCTGCAGGTTATATAAAACTGTTTGACCTTTTCTTTTTGTCCTGCAAGGTATATACTATATCCCAATTCTACTTCTTGTTTTGTTTCATCCAAGGTTGTGGTAATGATTTTTTAATTAGATTAATCAGTCGGGTAAAAAATTATAAGTAATAATAATGTTAGATTAATCAGTCGGGTAAAAAATTATAAGTAATAATAATGTTATTTAGAGAGCTCATTCATAACCCAAAAAAATAAAAAAAATAAAAAAAGGGGAGGAGGAAGGTTGAGAAACAACTGACTACTCTTATAATCTTTGTTGTGTGCAGAATCGCAAAACAACAAAGTTTGAGGAGTAAAACAAATAATTATAAAAAATAAAAAATAAAAAATAATAATCACATACAAAAACACAAGATTTATGTAATTTAGTGTTACGTCAATGTGTAATGATGAAGGATTGAATTATAATAGAGAATTTCCTTTCAATTGCTCTTTCTAGTATAAGTACGAATTAATTTAATTTCCTCTCAATTACTCTTTTTAGTGTAGGTACGAATCAATTTAATCATTCATGTTTTCTCTCTATCTTAAAATTTGATTAGGGTTGATATAGATAGTCCCATACAAATGAACACAACTTACCCCCATAAGATGTGCATTCTTAAACATTCCCACGCAATGATTTCAGAAAAACCATCACCAGTCCATCTTGACGAAACACCGTTCTAAAAATATCTTGTCCAAAATGAACCGGTCCCTTTCAAATTGGATTAGTCATGATTCGACCGTAGCCAATATGAATCTTCCCAAATTCTACCCTAGTGGGATCGGTCTATTAAATACTTTATTTGGCTTTTTACATAACAATCTCATAATCTAATAATTGTAATAAAAAATAAAAATAAAAATTCACCTTCGAGAAGTTTACGGTGGTCATAGTCAAGTCTTTGGCACTCATGTAAACACAGTGGGCTTGTGTATATGGTAGACAGTTGGAGAGCATCCATGAAGGCTTTCTAGTCAACCCTTTTGGAGGTTAGACCATCATGATCAAAGTCAGTCATTGGGCTAATTTGGACCGTTGGATCATGATGATTCTCAAGCCTAAGATGATTAAGTTGATATTCAATAAATCAAATGACTTGGGAGGATGGTGCTAATACACACTGAAAAGTCTTGGTCATTGAAGCCCTTAAATAAAATCCAAGGCAAGAGTGTTTAGTGTTAACATCGTTTTCCAATTAGTTATACGACCTTATCACATTCCAGTCTTCTGCTGTCATGCTCAACGGCTCGTTATGAACAAGGTATGAGATACGAAGATTTAAATTTGAGTTTTAGTTAATTGTGTTTGTATCGTAATCGTGTGAATACAGATTAACATATTAACTAAATATGTTGTGTTTGTGTTTGACCCTATTAGCACGATTAACCCGATTAACTACACATGTTGTATTCGTATAAAAAATAACCTATTTAGTTAAACGTGTAGAATAAATGTATCCTATTTGTGTCAAAAATAACTAAAATATATTTTTTTGTGTCGTGTCAAGTCTTAACTCATTTATTAAATGGGTTACGCGTGTCGTGTCGTGTCACACGTATAATAATTGCGTCGTGTTCGTGTCAAGAGGTCTTGACACGATTAATAATCGTGTTGTGTTCATGTTGACTGTAATCGTGTTCATGTCGTAATCGTATTGACATAAACACGACCTGTCAACACAAATTGCTACCCTTAACTGTCGTGTTCATGTCGACTCTAATCGTGTTCATGTCGTAATCGTGTTGATATAAACACGACCTGTCAACACGAATTGTTACACTTAAATTCAGTTTTCATTACCAAAAAAATAAATAAAAATAAAAATAAAAATAAAAATTAAGACTAAAAATCTAGCCACTATTGTAATTCGAATGCTAAGGTTAGTATTGTTTAATAAAGAAATTATTAAGGATGCTAAGGTTTGTATAAAATTGGAGTTTTGTAAATGAAATTTGTAGAATTGAAAAAAAATAATTCACAAAATTGAACCAAGTTTTTTTTTAATTTTACTAATTTTAATTTTAAAACTCCAATTCTAATCAATGAAACACAATCTCAAAAATAAAAAATAGAGTGGAATGCTTGATAACTTTTAGTATCCTTTTCTGCTTCACATAGTAAAAATTATTCCCTAACCTCCAATGTGAACACAGACTATAAATGGAATGATGTAAATCCTTATCTTTTTGTGTGATAAATGATATTTCGCTTTCTGTCAATTCTTGATTGTGTTTATTGTAACACTATTTCTTATACTGAATCTGTGAATAAACATGAATCATGTTTATCTAATTGATTGTCAATTGTTAAATAAAATAATAAAGTTTACATGCGAGGCAGATCAACCTTAGTACAAAAAACCCAAAAAGGTTAACTCAAATCACTTTGTGCTTGTGCTTCATCAAACATCAAATTTAGAATTTGAATACTTCGCAATTTATTCACGATTATATTTCGTAACTTACTCGGCCTGAGATGAAAAAGTTGCGTCCCTTAAAACAAAATACTGAATAGTCCCTCTGCCTAAAATATAGGGAATATATATTTTTAATAAACCTTAAAAGAAAAATTCCGACCAAGGAATTGCTAGCAATTTAATTTACACAAAATTTACACATTGTCATGAATCAGAATCCGTGCAGGACCCTGGAGTTGCATTTGTGGGACCTGATAAAATGGCAGGTCCCACTGTCCCGCTCATTTAATAAAGAAGTGTGGAAAAGTATAAGGCGAAGACCAAGCGTTTACTTACACTTTGACAAGATTGCCGAATTCAAACTTTAAAATTACACACTACTGAGTATTTCTTAATAATTGCATATTATTTTGAAACAATTATTCATATATTTTTGAATAATTGTGTATAACTTTCTCTTAAATGCGCTTAATTGACCCCAAACAACTTTTTGACCGAGAAACATTTTCCACCAAAAGAAACATTCAATTGAACATTTCTTTTTATTCTCTTCCTTATCTTTTACTTTAATTAATAAGGTTTTTTTTTTTTTTTTTGGTCAAGTAACTAATGCACCTATTTTATGTTCTAATAAATTTTGAGCCAAACTTTTTTTTTTTTTTAATTTTTTTTATTAAAAAGTTAAAGAAGAGACTACTAAGTTACAATTATAATAGTGCATAAAGCTTTTGTAATTTGGATAAAATTCTAATTAAATCCACAATTTAGAACTTTATGGAGATGATAAAAGTATATATTTTCAAAGTGTTTTTGAGTTGAAATGATTTAAATAATACCATTTTTGAAACATCGAGAATTGTTTTTTTTAAACCATGTTAATAGCATTTGCTAAAACTTTGGAGAGTAACGGTTTTGAGGCAAATTGGGAGATTTGAGGGGATGTAAAAATAATATTGCAGAGATTATGATATTTTTTCTTAAAAATAGCATGGAAACACTTTTAAGAAAACGTGATTTATTAAATTGCAAAAATTACTTAATTTTGGCTTTAAAGTGCATGATAATAATCAATAAATTTACTTTAAAAATTCTGTTAATTATACCTAAATACCCTTAAACTAGTAATTTTAGCCTATGTTAAATCTACACCAATTTTAATGAAACATTGGCCGAGTTTTTCATGAGTTAATTAATGGACTTTTATTATGTTCATTAAATTAAATATGGTGCATTTAGCGTGTTAATCATGACAATGCAAATTTTAATTGTATGAAAATACACACATAAAAACATTTTTTTAAGGGTAAAAATGAGACAGAATTTTTAATAATTACTCTACTTATATGGTTATACCTTTAGTCACATGAGCAAAAAAATAATAAAATTTAAGACACAAAGTAGAAGTAGGAATTGAGCACGTTTGCACTTGCATAACGTAAGAAATAAGGTAAGAGATGGAGCATGCACATAGTGTAAGAATAATACTCATTTAGAAAAATTGTGAGCCTTAGGAATTTATACCACGAAGTTTTTTAACACGTTTGTACGTGCAGGGCCGACCCTGACATTCCCAAAAATTTAAGAGGTCATAGGTGAACTTTCAAATGTGAGGCTCTTTATAAAGTTTCCCAGGCATAAACAAATCATAAGAGTGCAAAATATTTATTAAAAAGTGTGAAATTTTTATTAAAATGAGACGATAAACACATAAAATATATTAAATTTGTGATTTTATATTGAATTAGGTGGCTTTTATTCGGCTAATTTGTGTCTTTTAATATAGGAAAGAGAGAGAAAATAGTAAAACTTATCATTGTAGAATCCAAACCCTAATTTTATTCAATAATTTGAATTCAATTATGCCTATATATGTTGATTTGGGAAAACTTTTTTTATTAAATCTTCACATAATTAAAACTAGAAGCTATTTTTTTACGATGAATAAGTGATCTCTCTCTCATAAATAAAAATCCTAATCTACATAATTCACTTAAAGTTTTTTTATAATTATATTTTGATTTGATATTTTTTTATTACGGTTAAATTTTAAAGAGATACCCAACAAAGAATATATATATGTATATATATGAAAAATATTAATAGAGAAAAATAAATTGTAGATAGAGAAAGAAACCAGTGTAATTGTTCGTTCTTACCTTTTCCTTCAATTTTCAATTTTTTTAGTTTGTTAAAATATGAAACACAAATGTAAAAATAAATAAAGTGTAATATGTATTAAAATAAAGGGTATTCATGTCTTTTTAGTTATCGTCACGTCAGATTCAATATACAATTTGAAATTTTAATTCGAGATGTGTAACACTGCTCTATATAAATTGATATTATAAGTACGTGTATTTATTAATATAATATATATTTTTTAAATTTTATTTTTTGTCATAAATTTACATGTATGCATTTTCTTTTAATTATGAAAATTATGGCTTAAATGTTAGACATATACTACTATATTTACACCATGATCCTAAATTTGAGGCCCTTCCAAATTGGAGGCCTAGGCTACCGCATTGGTCACCTTGCCCCAAGGTTGGCCCTGTGCAAGTACATAATGTAAGAGATAAGGTAAGAGAGGGAGCATGCATGGAGTGTAAGAACAATACCCATTTAGAAGAATTGTGTGCCTTAGGAACTTATACTATTGAGTATTTTAACACGTCTGCACGTGCATAACGTAAGAAAAGGGACACGCACGGAGTATAAGAACTATAACCATTTAGAAGAATTATGTGCCTTAGGAATTCGTACCACTGGGTATTGAATATTTAAAATCCATACAGGTATAAAGAAGAATAAAAATAAGCAGCAATGATGGGCTAATTGGTGACCACAAGAAATGGGCAGATGGGTAGTTTTGGGCTCATTTGCTGTTGAGACAGACAGTGAAACATTATTGGGCCATAACGGCCCAATCAAACCACCTATGAGGCAAATGACGGCCCAGAATTTTGCCACGTGTGATACATGTGGCATATATGTGGCGGTGTCACCATTGCGAGTGAAAATGCCGATCCTAGTAACAGCAAACGGTTTTTGCTATTGTGGGCCTTTAAAGCGCCTGTTGATAAACTTCACTCACCGTCACCACCGCCGCTGTTTCACTGCGCCACCTCTAGCCACCGTCTCGGCCAACTTTCTCTCTTGCCGTCTCCCAAACGCTAACATCTGCCCCAGAAACTCTCTATTACTCAGGATGGAGGTATACCTCTCTCTATATATATTACACTATATGTGTGTATGCATATGCGTATGTATCTGTATTTTGTGATTTTTCATCGATTATATATTTTACATGTCCTTTTTACGAACCCATTTGGTTTCTAGACGGTGGAATTGAAATTTATGTTTGTTTTTTTGAAATTTACTTACGAATTTGACTTTTTGAGTTTGTAATTTTTCTTTAGCAGAATAGGCAAATAATTTTATTGATAAGAAAATTTAGGTTACACAATTCAATCAGAAACTGCTGCTTTCTTAACATACAGATATAAAGCATCAGCATGCCATCAATTAACTCCTTAGGGTCTGTTTAGTTCAGTTGAAAACAGTTGACTTAAAAAAGTTGAAAATAGAAAACTATTTTTTGAAAAATTATAAAAGATAATTATCTGAAAAAAATGTATTTTTATTTATTTATATTATTATAACTGAGTTTTTAAAAAACTGCAACCAAACAAGTTTTCTGCACTATTTTATGATTTTTAGGTCCCCGAAAATTGAAAATGAACCAAACAAGCCCTTAGTCTCTCTATTTTGCATACCAAGCTTATTCCCTTCTCTGTTCACCCCGCTCAACTCGAGACATTGAAAGTGACGAAGAAGAAACCGAATGTCATCCCATATTCTTGCAATGGAAGCTTGTGGGGGTATTAGCTTCAATAGCTAATTTGCAATCCCTTGCTATCAAGGGATCATTGAAACCCCAATCAATACTCCATTTGATTGCTTGCTTAGATACCAAAGCTTCAGCTCTTTTATTTATTTTCACTGGCAAGAAACTCACACACCCATTTGTCCCCACGGGGAGACAAACCCTCACCTTCCACATTGGGAGGTAAAGGAGATACTACTAAGCTACAGCCTTTAAAAAACAAATAACAGCCTTGATGATGCAGCCCACAGAAATCTCTAAGAACAACTACATCGGCAGCTTCTCCATTCGATTCATTAGAAGCAGCATCAAAATAAGCTTTAGAATACCTGTCGAGGGTGGTTTCCACTTCCCAGCAACTCCAGTGACAAACAACACTTCGATTAATTAGAGAAAACCCTTTTGTAGTCCTCCTATTGATTGACAGAGTTAGAAACAATATCTTGCTCCTAAATTGTAGTGTCTTCAAAGTAAAATTTTGTTTATACTCTTCCGACAATTCCAAGAGATATACGGCTCAAGAAATTGTCTCTGAACTCTGAATGCCTCTATAAGTGGAAAAGGGATTGGAACCATGAAGCCAAGAAATATGAGGGAGATCACACACAGAAAGTCTTAAAGGAACCACTTTCCGTACTTTTTTTACTACTGGACAGTACAAAAGAACATGCATGATAAATGGAATGTGGAGTCGTTCTTGTTGATGTGAATATCATCAACTTATTTGAACTGGTATTAATGTTGAAAGCTTGTGGTATATTCGTGATTGAGGCTTTATCAACTTAGGATACTTGTCATGTATATTTTGGAGGAGTAGGTGTGAGATTATTATCGCGGTCAATAAATTTTGCATGTCATGTGGTTCAAAAGTTCAAGTTTTAGTAGCTATTTGGACAATTAATAATGGGTTGGTACATGCATCTTAGCAGAAGAAAGTCAGTGAATATGGATGTTTAGTGATTGATTACACAACATAAAGTGTTAATTCTTTTTCACAAGCTAAATGGAAAACAGTCAGCGTCACCCAAAATGTGGGGAGTGATTCCTTTTTTAAAAGAATTTCTTCAACTATGTAGAATTTCTTCAAGGATGTAGCAATGTGAAATCAGTAGATTGCACATTGTGTGCTAATATCTCTTGTTCAAAGTGTCTTTCTTTGACATCAATTTGATGTGATTTCTATACGACCACTGTCCAGTAGAAATGGACTTGTCAGTCCAATCCTTTTCCGGAAGAGCCTTTACTTGTGGCTAGGCATGTTCACAGGAGATTTGATCTTCTGAGTGGCTTTGAGATCTGGTTAATTGAAAGCAGCAGTTGCTTGTCTTAGAAATTTGTGACTTCCTGTCAGGGACATCTTTGTTCTATAATCTACTGATTCCACTTTTTGTTTTTTTGTTTTTTTTCCCCTGGAACGTCAAGCAAATGGTTTCTAGTTTTCTACTTGCCCTGTAGATCATGAAATGAAATATGGTTATATTTAAACTAGATAATAAAGAAACCATTGTACTGAAGCACTTTATATTTGTCTACAGCGATTCCGGACTGGGAGTAGAATCAATAAGAGCAAAATGCTGGTGGAGCAGTTGCAGCGATATGGACTGATACACTCAAAGAAGGTAGCAGAAGTAATGGAGACTGTTGATAGAGCTTTGTTTGTTCCTGATGGGACCCCACCCTACGTTGACAGTGCGATGGATATAGGTTATAATGCCACTATTTCTGCACCACATATGCATGCTACATGCCTTCAATTACTGGAGCAAAATTTGCAGCCTGGTAATCGTGCTTTAGATGTTGGCTCAGGTATATCTATAACTCTATTTGTGTTTAGCCATGTTATTATTCAATGACTTGAACCTTCAATATATTCATTTTCAATCGTTATGTCTTATGAGGACTTATATATTAGCAAGTTTGTAGAAAACACTCTGAATATTTTGGACAACTTAAAACTGAAAAAAATGGGGATAAATATGCTTCTTATAATTGCAGTAGCACAATATGAGTTGATCCACCAAGTTATTTGGGCTGGAATGCCTAGTTTGACGTGATTGCCATTCTCCATAAGTTAGTACTATGCGATGTTATTCTGTTTAATTCTTTGTAATGTTTCATAATGTTGTGATATCATTTAGTAATTTAAGTGGATTGTCTTTCTTTTCAACATCACTCTCTGGAAGGTGACGAATCCTTTTTCTTGTTATTTTTATGTGTCGATGGATCATAATGCTCAACGAAGTACTGAACCTACCAACTCCTCTTATTTTAAGGACTTCGAATTTATAATGATGCATTGGAATATTTGATATCATGTAACTTGAAGGCAGTGATGTTGGTCAATCATGAGACTGAGAAGCTGGTTATGTTTGGCAAGTTACTCATTCGAGTGTGTGCCTTACCAATACGTATCAAAGAGTATGGGTGTATGACTATATGTTATCTTTATTGTGGAAATTGTGGTGCAAGGTAAAGTAAGGTTTTAGCAGAATTAACTCCAAAAGGTTAGTTTTGTAACCAGATGACCCCTCAGCATCACCAAATTTGTGCGATCCTTGTGGTACGTTATATTAATTAACAAATACCTAAACCCAGCTGCCTCAATTGAGTCGATCCCTTTAAAAAACCTAAACTGATTGAAACAAACATGTTCGTGACATGGAGCTGGTTTGTCACCTATATAGTGCATGCCAGTAAAAATGCTCATATTGACATTCTACTAGCCTAGTTACACGATATTTATCAGAATATCTATGTCCATCACAATGTCACTCGAATTCAACTCTGTTTGATTATCATATGAATTCCTTGCAGCATTCCAAGTTTACGGTTGATGATGTTAAATGTCACAATTTTGTCATTTCCGATGACAATTCTTTTCTTGTAGGAACAGGGTATTTGACAGCATGCTTTGCACTTATGGTTGGACAGCAGGGTCGTGCAGTTGGTGTGGAACATATTCCTGAATTGGTCACTGCTTCAATCCAGAACATTGAAAAAAGTGCAGCAGCTCCATTACTGGAAAAAGGCTCCCTATCAGTGCACGTTGGTGGTATGTTTTAAAATCTCATCGCTTTTATTTGTTTTATTTTTTATTTTTGAGAATGATGTTTTATTTAGTCCATCAGGCAGACAGATTCTAATATAAATCTGGTAAGCAATGAGAATGCCATCACACGACATTTCAATACACACCACCTAATTATTTGGGCTGGAAACTTTGATATATAAAAGTTCATTTCTTCAGATGTTAACAGAAAATACTGAGTATGTTATGAAAGGAAATTGTTTGGACCGATGAGCATGATTCGTATGCTTGTTTATAGTTTTTGGAAAGCTTGTCATAATGTAATTTTTTGATCCCGGTATGAATTTTAGTTGTAATCAAGTTATTGAAATGGTGCTGACTAGTTTGTTCGTTGGTATATGCATGGTTATAGATGGAAGGCTAGGCCGGCGAGAGTTTGCAGCTTATGATGCTATCCATGTTGGAGCAGCAGCACCAGAAATCCCAAAACCACTTATTGACCAGTTGAAGCCTGGGGGAAGAATGGTGATCCCAGTTGGCAACATACACCAGGACTTGCAGGTTGTTGATAAGAATCTTGACGGTTCAATCAACGTCTGGAGCGAGACTGCTGTCCTTTATGTTCCTCTTACGAGTCAAGAAGCTCAGTTGCAAGGCTAATCGAGGCTGGGAGCTCAAATTCGCCTATGTTACTTGGTTTAAGTAACCTCTGTAAGAATCACTGATCCTTTCTCTACATGTACATTTGAAGTTCCAAGTTCTGTACAAATGGTGATGTTATATATCTAATAAAGTGCCTATGAGCACAAGATTTTTAGAAACTCATGCCATGAATTCTGTGTGCTATATATATATCTCGATTGTAGAATGGATTCTACCATTGTACAATGCAAAAACAGAGGGTACCTAAGAAGCACCGACACTTCTATGAGGTGTCGTGTTTGTGTTGGACATCCACACTTCATGGATACTCTTGGACACGTTTCTGACTCTTCATGACCGTTCCATAATTTAAAATTAATTTTTATTATTTTGGACCCTTGGTCGATACATTTTGGATGCTTTATTAACATATTCTGGGCACTTGACTACATATCTCACACACTGTCTTATATAAAACAAACATATGGCAGTCCTAGAAATAACATTATAAACATATATAGAAGTGTCCAACTGAAGGAAAAAAAAACATAACTACAATGACAGGATAGAAATATCATATATAATATAACATATTCTTTTTTTTGTGTCCGTGTCCGTACTCATGCTTCCTATTTCTATAGCTTAGAAACTCATCCAGCTACTTAGTTGAAGCTTCTCCTGTGGTGAGAAAGCCTTCTTTGTATAGGGAAAGTTATAAAATTAATTCAAAAATATTAGGACCAATGAACAAAACCTTGTATTAACAATATACATAAATTGCAGTTAGTATTGTGTTTAGTAGCATGAATTTGTGTTTGAAATTAGAATTGAGTGTCTAGAAAGTTTCGAGTGAAACTATGCAGACAAAACACAGCAAAAGAGTAATCAAATTTTGAATACAAATTACCACCTAGTGAAATATCAAAATGTTAGAACTGTCCATTGCAAGTGCAAATATAAGGGTTGGTATGCGCAATGAAAGGCTTAGTGTAAATTTTTGTAATGAAGGTTATAAACTGTCGATAAACTTTTAGTAAAGAATGTACCAGTATTCGGTACTCTCCCCCGTGCTATTTTTCATAAAACACTTGTTTATAGGTGGGCACCATAAAAGTACCATCAACAGAGCAGCAAGAAAATGCTAAGGAATTGGCTTAAGAGTTTCAATCGGAAGAGATTCACCAGCTATACCTGTTGGCTGCTGATATGTTTTTTTGAAGTTTAGATATACCTGTTGGCTGCTGATATGTTTTTTTCAAGTAAACTTCGAAACATCATCCACATCCATGAAACACCACCAAGAACCAAACAAAGACATTTCCCATTTGTGGAAAGAACCAATGGATTGAAATGAATAATACATGATATACGCTGCTCAAAGCTATACATCTTTCATGCTACTTGACACCTATCTTTCGTAACAAACACATAGGAGCCACCTCTAGTTGGTACAAAATGAACTTATTGAGCTTCTTACATTATAAACTCCTCGAGAATACAATCACTTTTGTATAGACTTCAATACAAAAATTCAATCTCTCTTATATTGCATCCACCTTCAAGTTTAACAGTTAAAAGTCCATCCTTGGCATCATACGCGAATTCCTTCGTCTCCATGTCCACCATACAACAGTTCGGTTTTTTGCTAGAATACACTCCAAAACGACCACAGCCTCGCACTTTGACCTTTATTTTGCATCCTGAAGGTTCAAGGGTGCAACTTAGACCTTCAGTGGCTCCTCCAGAGTTGTACATATCAACCAATCCAATTGGAGCAAAGTGAATATTTTGATTGAAAACCTGCTAGTGTAATATCGAGGTTAGTGTTAGACTAGATAGAAAGAGAATGCACAAGGGAAATAAGAGGCGGCCTGTTTACTGACCCTAACTGGTGAGATGGTAAATATTTCGCATTGTAGTGTATCCAAAGTCACTTCAAGGTTTTCTTCTTTAGGTAACCTAGACAGAGATCCTGGAATATGAGAGAGTTTAATGGTTATGTTAGATGAATTGGTACCAGAGTCAAACAGTCTAGACAAAAGAAAAATTAAATTATAAGTTAACCTGAGTTGAATGCATATATTGCGCAATCCCCACTCCAATTGTCACCACCAATCTCTCCAAGAAATTCAACGTCAAGGGGACTCACACGACCCGAGATTAGTGAACCTGTAGATGCTTGGTGGCTAACATCTTCAGCTCCCTGTTTCAATGGCCAATTTCCTGCTCCTTGGCAATTAAAAACACCAATTACCCCAGATAACTTGTTCAGATTCCAAATCTTCAGCAAGCTGCAGTAAATCGACATTGTCAGCAATATGTTTATAGTTACTTTGTTATCTATTTATTCATTCATTTTCTGAGAAAGAAGAGAGTATTTTACCTTTTTCCATCCATGACTGGATCGGTGAATAAACAATCTCGAGTAGGTCTACCTGCATATCTAGCTCTAAGGACAGAACCATCCGGCAATGCTAGCCTCTTGAGTAGTTTGAAGTCATGTGTGCCTGGCTTGTCACTACAATTATACAAGAAATCCTCAATGATATTTCTTTGACCGCAATAATACTACATAATTAATCATTTAACCCTAAAATGATGTTGTGCAGGAAAAGATGTAAAATCAATTGTTCGCTAGTATAGCTCACCTGACATACACAGGACACCCACCCACTGCTCTTGCTGCACCATGGAACTCAGCTGTGACATGTTTGCTCTGAAATAAAGAACGAAAAAACACTTGGTCAAGTTTAGAATGGTCTAATATAAATATAGAATTTTGCAAGTAGAGTGCTTCAGTAAGGATCAACCAAAACTAGGCGACCTTAAATTATCGTCACAACGCAGCAAAACTACAATTTTTATTAATTGCCGATAGAGAAGGAGAATAAAGATGAATCAGTTCATGATATCATACCTGGAACATGTCCCAATCCGGCACCACAACCTCCCCAAGAAGAAGACTATTAAAAGCCACGGAAGCAACATGCAAGGTCTGAAAAGTTGGTTCCCTTGGCATGAAATCCTCTGATGCTCTTGCAACCGCACTCTTCATTGAGCTGACAATGCAGTACACAACTCGATCAGAAGCTACTTTCTAACTACTTTCTAACTCCACGTAAATGGTGATAGATATTTCAGAATATAAAGACTAGCCAAACCTGTAAATGGTATCATTGTTGTGACTCATGCAGCAAATAAGGTTATTGTCTTTGAAGTTCCTAACAACAGATTCTTCAAGCGCATGCTGATATTGTTTAGTCAGCTGGACGCGCCCCACATGTCCGGAGCCTAAGGTTTCTATGAGATTCTGAACGTCCACCTTAACTCCGTCTATGCCACTGCCAGCAAGATAGCTATGGAGATCGTTGTAAAAATCGAAAACCTTTTGGGGATCAATAAGTCCGACGCCATATTTCTCCAAGCTGTCCATTGCAACATCTCTAAGATTCCCTACATTACCAGGGGACTGAATCGGATATTCAATCTTAGGGTTGTACTTATTCATCGCCGGGGATGATGGAAGAAGCCCTCCCCAATAACCAACCAAAGCATGCCACACGTAAACATATCTATATCATATCGTTATGGTCTACAATTAGAAGTATAGTAAGGTAAGCTTTTATAATGAAAAAGAATTATCATCCAGATTTCAATCCTACCTTAATCCGTATTTCTCTTTGATAAATTTGACATGGTCATGGAGATCAATGCAGGAATCATTTGAGCCCGAGCCCCTGAACTTACTGTTCTCTTTGATGTCAACTAACCTAGTCGCAAACCTAATGTTCAAAAAGAAAGTGTGAGTGGGCCTTTAGCAGATTAATTTTCAAAAAGGTGAGATACTATCGAAAGAAAATACTTACACTGTTTCTTCATCTTCTTTGCAGAATTCATTTACTGTCTCTTGCCATCCATCATCGATTATCAAAAATTTCGGTAGACAGCCTCCTTCGGAAAAACTGCAGAACAGTAGAATAATTTTACCTTAGTTACAGATTTGAACATCTTTCATTCAGTTCACAAACCGAAATGTGTTGACTTCTTCACTGTACCTTTGAAGACCCTCTTTGATTCCCTGTGGATCGACATCCTTGTAGAAAGCATCCCAAGTGCACCATCCAAACCAGTCCAAATGTGGAGGAATCTATTCATTAAAGCACATGGAAGATTAGGATAACTCGAAAAGTTTTGACTAAATTAGGATCCAGAGACGAAAAACAGATGGAATAATCATTCTACGATGAAAATAGAATGTTAGTACCTTCTTGTCTTCAATGTGATTAAATGTACCCTTATGCTTCGCAAGTGTCCTACACAAAAACACATTTACAAAACGTGATCATTCAACATTAACTACTTCAAAGTGACAAGAAGTGCACAAAGAATAGACGCTCGACTAATTCTATATCGCACATACTTGATCGAATTTTTAATCAGCTCATATGGGTTATCCCCTGAGCTTATGAAAACTGCTTCCAACGCTTGGGTGGTTTGGACATAAGCATCTCCTGAAGCAAAACGTAAACCAGATCATAGCGGAACAAGAAACATGATATGGTGTCGAAAATTTAGAAGAAGAATGTAGGTATGACATAATTATAGCTTCATCTACTTACCGCTTTCAACACAGAATTGAAGCTCGTTTGAAGGAGTCCCTTGCAAACTAGACCGAAACTGTCCATCCAAAACAGGTAATAGCAGAATGTAGAATGTGCTCCCTGCAGTTGGCTCGGAATAATTCTCGCCGTGAATGGCGGACTCTTCCTTTGCTTCTAAGAGAAGCATTTGAGTTTCCATTCGGATTTCACTACCCAATTTTCCAACTCGCGGTATCATCCACCATATTTTGAATTTGAAGAGAGACAAGAAATTGAATTCCCTGTAATGGGCACACCACATTAGATCAGAGAAATGTATTAAGAAGAAACAGGACATTACACAAATCTTATCTCCAAACCATGAAGGAATAAGGTTTTATGAAAAACCCATTCCTTGATAGAACTCATAAAATTAATTAAAACCAAAGATTATAAAAAGTAATACTATGATAAATATGTCAAAGACAACCAGAAAAATCTCTGACCATCTCAACCATATGTTCTCTAAATGTTGTAAAAGGCAAACCAGTAGCAACACTAAAATTATTGCAATTTGGGTTCTAATTGTGAGTCAAGTGAGAATTACCTCCAACATGAAGAACTAGCTTCCACAAAGTTAAATGTCCATTTCATCAACAAAGGGTAAGAAGGTAAATTCACACTATGAGGGCCTTTATATCCATGGTTTCTTTAATTTTTAATAAAAATCTATAAAACTGGAGTCATAATCATTGCACTTTGATATATGGTTTTTGATTTTGAAGTAAAACTTTCTCATGAAAAAAAAAAAAAAAACAAAAAACAAAAAAAACAAAAAAGGGCATCGTCTGAAGAACTTTGTTTTTATAAAGTAAATCAATATACACAATCAATTTTCGAGAGCCTTAGATCCATTTAGTGAAGTAACATAAAATTTTCCGGGAAAATATTTCCATGGGATAAAACCCATTTGGCTACCCAGAAAATGTACTAAAACGAATCGATTTTAGAGAGCTTTAGAGCCATTTAGTAAAGTAACACAAAATATTCCCGGGAAAATATTTCCATGGGATAAAACCCATTAAGCTACCCAGAAAATGTACTAAAACGAATCGAAAATTTAGGGATAAAAAAAAACATAGACAATTGTTTCCCGGGAAAATATATCCATGAGATATAACCCATTTGGCTGCCAAATGAATCAAAATTTCGGATTAGAACAGCGTAACAAGTCCGGTTGTGAAATTGATTTTGTAACATTCCAAATTTTCTCTATGATTTCTCGCCAACCATGCCAAATTAGGAAAACAGAGCTCATACACACACACACACACACATATATATATAGAGAGACAGAGAGGAAGGAACTAACTGAAGAACTCCGAGAGTGAATACATGACGAGAACTGGAGGTGGGTGAAGTGGCACCCAAGAAAGCTGACCCACAAGCCGGCGAAGAAGAAACTGAAACGTTCGACGGAACACCGGTCAACACGACCTTGCCGTTCACCGTGAGGCAACCGTCGGTGACACACGGCTCGGCGGTGACCGTCATTTGAGCCTGTCTTGATGAATTCGAATTCGAATTCGTCTTAGACCAAACCTCTCCGACTAAGCTATGCAGAGCTTTGTGTGACGAACAATTAATGGCCAAACAAATCCTATGAGGAAATTGAGAACTCAAAGCCCGAAAAAAATTAGATTTTGAATTGGGAAGATAGTAATATGAAGACAGCTTTGTTAATCTCTCGAAACAACAAGCGGTATTTATAGTTGAAAACATTTTCGAGAGCGGTGTCATTTTACAGAACTATGTGTAGAGAGAGAAAGTGGTGATGGGGCCTAAGACTTGTCAACGGACTTCTCAACGGTGTCTATCACGAGCGGGCTCTGTTTATAACTTAATTCTACAATATTTTTTTTGGCTCTCGTTTTTCAATTTGCTCTTGCTCCGGCTCTGACTCAGGTTCTAGCTTCGACTCCAGTTTTTTAATTTACTCTTACTCTTGCTCTCGTTTCTTTCAATTCCTGTTCTTATTTTATGTGATTTAGGGTGGAATTAAAAAAAAAGAAAAGAACGACAATAGAGAGAGACTTTTTTTATTTTTATTTTGGGTAGGCGGTCACTACAATTTTGTGTATTAATCATTATTAATAAAATTATTGAGATTATATTCATAAAATAAGAAATTCACGGTTGTATTTTGGTATTATGATTTTTTTTTTTTTTTTTTTTTTTTTTTCCTGTTTGAAAGTTGGAATTATTCTACTACCGCTAAATTCAATGCAATGACAGTGTTAGACTGAACCATATAAATATAATATGGATCACTTTTCAAAATATAATATTGAAAGATATTTTTTTGCAAAGTAGAAAGATATTTTTTGCAAAAAAAAAGATATTTAGATCTGGATAAGATCCGAAATTATAATATTTTTATACTTAAAAGTTAATTTATACTTAAAGTGATATTCTCATCTATTTACCTCTAAATTCAATGCGAGTCTTTTTTAATTTGATTTGCTTTTTCATAGCGTTATTACTTTTTTGTTTTTTTTACTTATTATTCCAAGCTTTTTATCTTCAGTGTGTAACAAAAATGAATCCATGAGAGTCGTAATTAGTGGATGGATTGATTTTTCATTTGTAAAAGGATTGGAGATAATATTTAGGACAATAAAATGGTGTAAAATCATAACCCCTTTATTAATATGTATATAAATTATATAATCCCAACCGAATTAAATAATCTCTCAGAACAAATAAAAGTTATCTTGTCAACCCATATTCATATGGGTTGTGAAAAGACAAAATTGATTTTATTATTTAATATTAAATAAAAATACAAATAATTATTATTTTAAAATTATGAAATTAACCTTTGTGGTATTCACTTCCTTTGAATTTAATGTGCTTCTTAATTTGGTGAGTGTTTGCTTTAGATTGAAATGGATTTCAAAGTTAAATTTTTTTTTTTTCCTAGTCGATATTCACACACCCACTTAAAGAATTGTTTGCATTCAAGAAGAGTCAATCTTTCAACCTGATATTTCTTACCCAATTGAATCAACCCCTTATGATTAAAAAATTAAAATTTTAATTTTAAAATAATAATTATTAGCATTTTTATTTAATATTAAGTAATAAGGCAATATGATTAATTGTGTTAATTCTAAGATGTATTTGATTCTTTTTGAGGTTATATACGTATTCATGTGAAAATAAGACAAGAAATTGACTTGCGGGAACTATAGTTCGCAATCGCGGTATTTGGGACGGTATCATTTGCGGTCACTATGTAACGGACTCAGAGGGCGGAGCTAAAATTTTATTTCAGATGAGGCACAATGCACTTATTGATAAAAAAAAAAAAAGTAAATAAACAAATATGACAGATAATTTTTTTAAATCAAAAGGCAAACAAGAAAAAAAATAGTTGTAAAATAATATGTTAAATAAGTATTGTAAAAAAAATATATTCTTACAAATATAAGAAACAAAATATTGATTAATAATATTTTAATTAAATATAATCACAAATGTCATCCATAAAAAGAAAGAAGTGGAAAAAATGCAACAATACATAAGTAAAAAAGGAAAATTTTTGAAAAAAGAAATAAAATTAGAAATTATATGTACCTGAAAAAGGAAATATATGTAATTTTTTTTTTCAAAAAGAAATTAGAGGAATTTGAAAATTTGAAAGGGCACAATTTACCATATAAATATATGTATATAGTAAAAATATATATCTATATATATAGTAGGTTGGAGTAAGAACAAGGAGTCATATGCCCCTGGGGTCTTAATTGACTTCGTCCTGAAGACGGATATTGATATAAATAAGTCATTAAATTATGATAAATTAAATAATAAATTACGTATTATACCAACAAAGTATCTGAATAGGATAACCTCCGAGATGTGACATGACATGGCAGTGAATGGGATTGGGCAGATCATTTTTGACTTCTAAACTTCCACATCATCATCCATCCCATCTCCAGTTGAAAGTTGAGGTTAACAAATGTATGTTGTGTGCTGTGCGGACACACGTCTGTCTATAGAAATGTCACACACATGCTTATATTGTTGTGGAAAATTCTGCTTTCAGATCATTGAAAATAAAAATTCTCCGAGAAGGGGCAATCTAATAATATAAGATGGAAAAGTTACCCATTATGAGATTAAATAGTGCGAGAGGTGGACCCAACACACCTCGCTGATGCAAGAAAGGGGTTTCGTCTCATAGCGGACCAATTCGTATTGGGTTGTCCGGAGTGTGGTTCAGGGCTATATGCCCAAATGGCATTGACAGGCTCTACTTAGTTAGTCCGATATTTAGGGCAAGTGGGACTGGTAAAGACTACCCTGGGCCTAAACAATTTAAACTAAAAGCTATAGTCAAGCCTCTGCTGGACTTGGGCCTGTTACAGAAGCCCAGTCTTCCACACATCTATTGTAGCAAAATATATTTATTATTTTGACCCAGTGTGTTTTTGAAGGATTATTTTACCCTTTTTCTTTTAATAAGTAAAATATTAGGGCGTAAAAATCGATTGCAAGTATTATTTCTCCTTTTTCTTTTCATAACCAAATTTCTTAATAGTCTAAAAGAAAAAAAAAAATTCCGATGCAAAGACATTTTTATTTTGAAAAGTGAGAAAGTATCACGGACTATAATTAAATATATCACATCGGACACTTAATTATATAAACCAAGATGTAACGGTTAATGACCTTTAGCATGGTTCTTGATTCTTCCATGATAAACTTAATAAATTTCCTTTACATTTCCAAAAAATTAAATAAATAAATAAACAAATCTAATCTAAGGGCAGCTGGTATAGCAATACCAGCTAACAATGTACATGTGGCTTGCTAGCCATATTAGCAATTGTGCTGATGTGACTACCAAAAGCATGTTGCTACCGATTTTTCACAGTATGGTTAATCACTAATTAATATTTTATTAATATTTTTATATTTAAAAACACATATTACATATTTATTTTTTTGTTTGTTTGTGTTTTCTTCAATGGCTATTTTTTTAATTACTTAGAAAACTTTTTTATATTTGAATGGAATAATTTTTGTAACAAATTTAAATTAACATAAATAAAAAGACATTAAATATTTTCTCACACTTATATAAATAAAATAAAAAGACATTATATATTTTCTCACAATTACATAAATAAAATATAAAGTATATTACATATTTTCTCACAATAAAATAAAAAAGACATTACACACACACACACACATATATTTTGCCTTTTCTCGTATATTTGTTGACACATTTTAAAGAAAAAAATATTCAAAAGGCAAAGAACTAAAATTTTTCATTTTTTTTTCAAAAATAAAAATTAAATTAAAAAAATCAAATTTATAAATAATATTGTACAATAAAAATAAATTAAATATAAAAGAAAAAAATGAAAAGAAAAAAAAACGTTGCATTTGCTGGATTTTTTTTTTTTTTTTTTCTAACATTACTATATAACAATAAAGAGCGGTTGGAAAGAAAAAAAAAAAAAAAAAAACACAAGAAGTCGATAAAGCAACTAATAACAAGTCTGTGATTTGTGACGATTGCAATTGTTATCCAAGTCGTGGGCTCCACCTTTTGATACTACCATAAGCAAGCACCCTGCCTCCTAACAATTCACCGGACGGCTAAGTGAAGCACTTCTAAAGGATAAAATAAAAAATCTAAGCACTCCTAAAAGATGTTCTTCCTTTTCTTATCTCCGATCGTTGTCATGATACAAAAGCGTGCCAGTGCTAAAAAATAATATAATTCCTTGGTTGCCACGTGATTATTTATTTCTCTAGAAAATTAATACAAGAGGGAATTCAATAACAAGAGTGCCTTTCTCATGAAAGAAAGAGAGTGGTCATATTTGAATACAACGGTCAATGAAAGATATGTATAGAGTGATTTAAGGCCTTTTTAAATACGATAATGCTTAATGCTTAATTACTAATCGGTGAATAATTAAGTATTATCTTTTTAAATATATGTGTGGGAGTAAAATTCTTATTATCATCCTAAAGTCATGAATCACTCCCCTCTCTCACACTCTTTCTTTCTTACTTTATTTATTCTTATATTTATGATAAAGCCAGCGCTCTCAAAGACAATAGGGAGTAGTTTTAGGAATGGCAATTTGCCAGTATTTGTTCAGTTTATAATAATTTTGGGAGGCTGTTTAGCATATTTAGATGGGGATAATTTTTATTAATGAAAATTTGAGTGAGTTTGGGACGGACGAGGACGGAGGCGGGAGCAAGAGAAGGGTCCTGTTTAGATAGGTAAATTGCTAAATTACTCTTATTTTATTATTATATATAATTAAATGTAGAAGCCTTATATCACATTCACTCACTTTATCGACCGTTTTAGAGAGCGACAGAGTTTTACAAATTAAGAAAACTCATACTTTTGAATTTTATATTAAATTATTGATTATCTATTTTTATGAAAATTTTCAATAGTTATATAATTATATTTGAGAAAGAAAAAAAAAATTTAAATGAAGAGAAATTCTGAAATTAAATGAATAGAGCCAAAGTTTTTAAACAATTACCCAAAAAAAAAAGATACACCTGTCCAAAACCATCCTTCGTACGAGTAACTCCAAGGCTCGGCTACAAGGCCTTTCACACGCACTCTTTGGCTGAACTAGAAAACAATATTTCGGATCAAAATACATCCAAATTTTAAGAGGATTGACATGCTTTCATTCTACGGTGGGGTCCACATTGCGCAACAATTCACACCATGATTTGAAATCAACTCTCAGTCCAAAGCGTTAACCAAAGTAAACAAAAAAAAAAAAAAACTCAGTCCAAAGTCCAAACTCAGACAACGCCAAGATCTATGTCCAATGACCTCTCCAACCTGTGATATTTTTTTTAGGTAAATGTCTCCAACCTGTGATATTGCAATCTCTATCTTCATCACTTTTTTAAAGGGGCTCAAGTGGTAGTTGATTGCCACTACCATGATCTAGATCTCTTCATGATTATTTAATTATCAATAAAAGCCCTTGATTGTTTCTGAGATCTACATGTCTCTCAATTAGACATGAAAATACAAGGAAAGAACAACAGCAACAACATAGAAGCTCCAAGTGTTGATGAACCAGGTCCGGCTAAAGCTGGTCAAATTCATGATGAACATGTCCTCACTTCTGCTCACACCATTGGCCATGGTTTGTTTCTTCTCTCTTCCTCAACAACACCATCAATATAATATTCATCTTATGTTATTCCTAGTTATAATATATATATAGAGAGAGAGACAGAGTTTTGGACTGCTTGGTTCAGAACTCAAAAAACTTAGAAAGTGTTCGACTAAACAGATTTTTGTACGTTTGTTTTTATTTTCAATTCTCGAAAAACAGAAAATTGAACTAAGCAAGCCCTTACTCCATTTGGGTTTTCTTGGATTTTTGCTTTCGGAAAGTGACTTTGATGTAAACTTGCAGATTCATGGCAACAAGTAGGTTTGCTGCTAGTGACAGGCTTCAACTGTGGATACATATTGAGCTTTTCGACTCTCATGTTGGCGCCTCTGGGTTGGACATGGGGTATCATATGCTTGTTTGTTGTTGGGTTCTTGGCTGCCTATGCTAACTGGCTCCTGGCTGGATTTCACTTCATCAATGGCCAAAGATTCATCAGATACAGAGACCTCATGGGCTTTCTTTATGGTGAGCTTCTCACAGCCACAGCCACATCCACATATATATGTATATACAATAGCTAGTCACTGATATATATATATAATTTTTTTGTGAAGGAAGAGAAATGTTTTATATCACATGGGTTTTCCAATTCTTGACCCTTCTTCTTGGGAACATGGGATTCATACTTCTTGGAGGGAAAGCACTAAAGGTATGATGAGTAAGTTACATATATAATCAAAATTAGGTCATGGTTTATTCTTGTTTATATATATATATAAAGTCAATGAATACAAGATGTTTTTTTTTTTTTTTTCACTGCAAACAGGAAATCAATGCAGAGCTGAGTGACAATCCCATAAGACTCCAATATTTCATCACCATAACAGGAGTGACCTATTTCATGTTCTCATTTCTGGTTCCGACGATATCGGCGATGAGAAGGTGGTTGGGAGCCACCACTGTCCTCACCTTCTCTTACATTGTCATCCTTTTGGTTGCTTTAGTAAAAGATGGTAGGTATATTGATCTTTCAAGCCGGCCATTTTGATCGATTATTTTCATTATATATTGCCGATAATATCATTATCAATTTTATCATGTCAATACTTTAAATGTCTAAGAATTTAACACCTTAAATCACATTGTGTTGCAATACTACACCATCATTACGTCGTTATTACATTAATAATTTAAAATTGTTGCGTTATCGAGTGTTGCACTATTGATTGAAACGCACAAAATAGACACACGGTCAAAAAGACACCAGAGAGGATCCGTCATATAGAATAACTTTATGTATACAAAATATGAGCATCATGGTTAAACTTGTAGTATAGGACAATTTTATATGCACGTATGATGTACACTTCTGTTTAATAATATATTCAAATTTATTTTTTTGAAGGAAAATCCCAAGAAAACAGAGATTATGAGATCAGAGGAAGCAAAGTGAGCAAAGTATTCAATGCATTTGGTGCAATTTCAGCTATCATAGTTTGCAACACCTCTGGTATACTATTGGAGATACAGGTAATTAAGAGCAATATATGTATAGATAATATGTGAACATAAAATTCATATATATATATATATAGATATATACAATCAATATAATATGTTATAGTAATTTTGTTTCTATTATGTGCGTGCAGTCAACTCTTCGCAGTCCTGCAACTGTGAACATGAGGAATGCATTATATGTACAATACACAGTGGGCCTTGCAGTTTATTATGGTGTGAGTGTAGCAGGATATTGGGCCTATGGTTCAACGGTATCTGATTACCTGCCCAAAGAGTTAGGTGGGCCCAAATGGATCAAAGTCCTCATTAACTTAGCAGTCTTGGTCCAATCTATAATCTCTCAACATGTAAGTTTTCTTTTTTTTTTTTTTTTTGGGTAATTTTTATAAATAATTTGGAATTGGAAAGTTAGACAATTTCGACTATTTTTATTTGACTGAGGATTGACGTTGACTTTCCTAAAACCAGTATGAGTTGTCTAACTTTAAAATTTAAAGCCATGTGTAAAGTGGGTGAATCCAATTTATTAATCTAAACACATGCGTTTAGATTATTAGATATTTAAATATTTGATGTTGGGTTAGTTTGATTTAATTACACGAAAGGTGCCTAGTTTCATGCCATAGTCTTGATGAAAGTAAGAGGAGGTTTGATGGAGAAATATAAAAAAGAGCATGTATCAACGTGGTTTGTCCCAAGTTTGAGCCTTTTCACGTGTAAAATACTATTTTTTTAGTTAATATAAAAAAAGATCTCAAAAAAGATTTATTTTTACTATATAAATGTTTTCAATGTTGGGGTCAAATATCTTAATAATATAACGTTCTTGTACAATGAATACTCACTGTACTTCCATATGCCCAATAATTTCTTTATTTTTGTGCTGGGCTAGCTGGTCTAAAGTCGGCCCATTAAGGTCTAGTCTGAAGGTCAGATTGAGCTTTGAATGAGATAGCATAAGCCCGGCCTTAAGGACCCATAGGTATGGGCAGAAATTAGTCTTTGATAGAGAATCGGCCCAAAAAATATGCCGGCCCACGGGCCGTCTTTCTAGCTAGCTCATATACTTAATACTCCTACTAACACAAGAATCTGTTCATCCAATTGTAAGAATGAGAGAGTGAAGAAAACGCTTAAAACAGCTCATTTTTTAAAATCTGTTTTATTGTTTCCAAAACTAAAGTAGAATTTCACGTTTGGAAGCACCAAATCAGAGTTTTGGAATTAGATAAAATTCAGTTTAAACTTTGAACTTCATTTTGTTCAATTCTAAATTCAAGTTGCGGGTCTGCTCCCAAACATGACATTAAGGTAAACTACGAAACATTACTAAAAGAGTTTTGAGTATGCGATACTAAACCTTATGGTCCAATAACCATCATTTGAGAAAAAACCTATAGTTCTTATTTAGTAATTTTCATTGAGACTAGTATTGCAATTTAAAGAGACTAATTAATACTATTATGATTTTCTTTTCTTGTATTTACTTGTATATGTACTACAGATGTTTGTAGCACCAATTCATGAGGCACTTGATACTAAGTTTCTAAAACTTGATAAGAGTATGCATTCAAGAGAAAACATCAAACGATTATTCTACGTGCGAGCACTCCTCTTGTCGGGAAATACACTGGTGACGGCAGCATTTCCGTTCATGGGGGACTTCGTGAACTTGTTTGGATCATTCACACTTGTGCCTCTCACCTTCATGTTCCCAAGCATGATCTTCCTTAAGGTAATTCAACATCATGTTGCATTGTGAAAACATAAAGTAAGTTTGGTTTAGTTTTCTGAAAATAGTTTGTAAGAACTCAGAAAACAAAAACTGGTAAACCCACTTTTTTTTATTGAATTTTTAGAAAACTACAACCAAACAAGGACTTAATTACTTGGTTTAGTTTTCAGAAGATAGTTCTCAAGATCTCCAAAATCATAAAACTGTTTTTGTAAAAAATTATAAAAGACAGCTATTTGAAAATAGACCTTTTTATAACCGAGTTTTTAGAAAACTGTTTCCAAAAAACTGAACAAATCAGAGTTTTAATACAGTTTTCTCTGTTCTCATAAAACTGAACTACACGTAGAGTATAGAAGAATTAGAAAAGACAGAACTTAACATGTGCTTATTTCTCACTTCACAGGTTAAGGGAAAGACGGCGAGAATAGAGAAAAAAATGTGGCATTGGATAATCATTCTCTTGTTTTCTCTCCTTGCAGTAGCAACTACAATATCTGCTTTCAAATCCATTATTAACAATGTTAGAGAATATCATTTCTTTGCAGATACATGACCACAAACATTGATTGAATACAATGATATTACGAAGAAATGTTGAAGATGTTGAAGATCTGTTTTTTTTTTTTTTTAGGCAATGTAGCAGGTTCGGCACAGCGGAAGATACCAATATGTTAGGTAGAAACAAAAATCCAAACATATATACACACAAAAATGGAAAATTCTATAACAGAAAGATATGAATAAAGATGAAAAAAAATACACCACAAGACAAGATTTATACGTGGTTCATCCTTACAAATAGGGTTACGTCCACAGGTGATGATGATGGTATCACTATATAGAAGAAGATTACAAATTAAAGAATGTTTTGGTTCTTCTAGGAGATAATCACTCTTCTCACAATCAAACGTCACCTGCCAAATGAAGAAAAGCTCACCGAACGTTCTCAGGAAAAATTCCTAATAATTTTATTCTGACTCTTACCCTCTTGATCAGAATATCTTGCTGAAGAATCTCATAGGAATCACTAAAGGATCACGCTTCTTTCGTTTGTCTCATTACCTAATTTATAGGACAAAGTTGCCGCTTTTGGATAACTGACTTATTGCTGGCACAAAGAAATTCATTCCTTATCAATTTCTTCGCTTAAAGTTTACTTATTACCTTATCAAACCCTCAACTTACGCATTAAGTCATTCACACGACCAAACAGTTGACTACCATAATTTTATCATTCAACCAATAAAATTTTGCCAAAATCCCAACAATTTTGGAGTTCATCTAGTGTGCACTATAGTCATATAAAACACTAATCAATTCCAGAGAAAATTGAAAATTACAAGAATTTGTGAATGTAGATATTAGTCACCCTCTAGATATAGAATATCTGATTGAAAGCTGTAATCTTAAAAGTTGAGTATTAGGCTCCGTTTGTTTGGATGCAAAATATTTTTCAGGAATGTTTTAGCGCACGTTATGGGTATTTTTAGTCTCTCATGCAAGAGACACATGAGGGTTTTAGAGAATTTGATATTGTTAAGTGTTAGAGGTGGAGAAATTATTAGAAGTCCTGGACCATTGACACTTGGTGAACCAGTTCCATTCAAACACTCCGATTAAGAAAATGGCGCCATAAGAGTGTATTAATATATTACAAAGAATTCTAAACATTAGTTTTCATTAAATTAGTCCACCAAGTGTCAAATGGTTGAGGACCATTTAACAATTTCTCGTTAGAGGTGTGTTCTTGTCTCACATCCCACCTGGATAGACATAATAGAAAATATAAATTAATACTAATGAGTATGCAGTTCTACTCAATGGTTTAATCTTTTCGGTCAGAAGATAAGCGCGTTATCCATTACTTTATTATTCCCTTTGTCCCACAAAAACATGTTCCTTTAATTTGTTGAGTTTTGTGGCTCAAATTTTTAGGGTTTCACACACACAATTGGCAAATATAAAAGATAAAAAAAATCACACACAAGCAAAAAATGAGATTTACGTGGTTTGACAAATTGCCTAGTCCACGGGAGAAGAACGACTAATTTTATTTTAAAAACTTGATTACACACTATTATCTCTCACACAATCTCAACTCTCTTTTTCTCTATACAATTTTCTCTCTCATACCCATATCTATTTATAGAGTTTTCAAACTCAAATTCATGTTGGACAAGGATTAATTTGCCTACAAGCAGTTACCATATCAATCTCCAACACCTACAAGGAGTTACCATATAGTTTCCAACTCTAAAATAGATGTACAACCTCTTCCCCAAATCTTTCACTTTTTTCCAGTCTTCCAACCAATTAGGAAACTGTTTGTTGTAGTTTCCAATAACTGGCTGTCCAAGTTGAACCGGTACAACCCTAATTGAACCAGTTCAACTTTGGTAGTAGCCAAAGTCCGCAAGTTTGAACACTCCAAATATAATTAACAGGTGATCAAAATTCATAGCTGCACCTTAACTAAATATTTCCTCACCTCAAATAAAGCACTATGATGAAATTGAGAAACACTTTAACAATCTCTACCTTTTCTTAAATTCATCATTCTTCTTCTTGTCGTTCTTCATCGCACCATTACATTCATCTATTCTTAGCAAATTCCAAGTTCAAATAATTAGACTTAGAATCTACTTTTGCATCACCAAATTGAACTCTTCTTACTTTTGGGATAAAGGCCGATGCTCTTACAATTGTCAAGACTTCTTCCTTCTCTTGTTGTTCTTGATTATTTATTCTAGTGGATCTCGAAACAGGCTTCCATTCTGTCTTCGTAATTCTCCATCTAACATAGTATATCTCCTATAAAGCAAAGTATTGAATAAATACTTATAGGTATAGCGTACAGACGTTAACAAAATAATTTTTTTATCCTCATCACTTAGCTTGACATCAATGTTAGACAAATCACAAATAATTTTGTTGAACTCACCAAACTGTTGTTGAAGGCTTACCCCATCTTTTCTTTTAAAGGAATACAACTCTTGCTTTAAAACTAACTTGTTGGTGAGATTCTTTCTCATATACATATTCTCCAACTTCTTCCATATGTCCACTGCTGAATCTTCTTTTATCGCATCATACACAATATCATCTACCAATGTTAATCGAATTGCACTCATTGCCTTCAGGTTGATCTTCACCCAATCTGCATCTTCTGTCTTTCCTAGTTGCTTACCCAACGCGTCTTCTAGACCACGCTGAATCTATAAATCCCGCATCCGAACTTGCCAAAGACTGAAGTTCTTTTTTCCATCAAACTTCTCGACCACGCACTTTCCATCTGTAATAGTTGCCGCCATAGCTCTGATACCGGTTGCTAGGGTTTCACACACACAATTGGCTTAAAAAAAATCACACACAAGCAAAAAATGAGATTTACGTGGTTTGACAAATTGCCTAGTCTATGGGTGAAGAATGACTAACTTTACTTCAAAAACTTGATTATACATTATTCTCTCTCTTACAATCTCAACTTTCTTTTTCTCTTTACAATTTTCTTTCTCATACCCATATCTATTTATAGAGTTTTCAAACTCAAATCCTTGTTAGACAAGGATTAATATGCCTACAAGCAGTTACCATATCAATCTCTAACACCTACAAGGAGTTACCATATAGTTTCCAACTCTAAAATAAATGTACAACCTCTTCCCCAAATCTTTCGCTTTTTCCAGGCTTTCAACCAATTAGGAATCTGTTTGTTGCAATTTCAAATAACTGAATGTCCAAGTTGAACCGGTACAACCCTAGTTGAACTGGTTCAACTTTGGCAGTAGCCAAAGTCCACAAGTTTGAACACCCCAATTATTCAAGTAATTAACACGTGATCAAACTATGTTTTCACATACGTGCTTTACCTTAAACAAGGATCTCTTCATAACTCCACCTTAACTAAATATTTTCCCACCTCAAATAAAGCACTATGATGAAATTGAGAAACACTCTAACACAAATTTGGTATGCGAGTAGCGTTCTGACAAAAATGAACTGGTTCAAGTTATTTAGAACCAGTTCAATTAGAGTTCCTAATTTGTTTTGGAAGCCAAAAAACTTATGAAAGAGGCTGAAGATTTAGGAAGAAATGTATGGTGTATTAGGTTGTTATTTTAGAGTTGAAGTCTGATATGATAACTCATTATAGCCAAGTTAGAGAATTCTTGTCCAACAAATTGTGTTTGAAGACTCTTTCAATAAAGATGGGTGTAAGAGGTAGAGAAAGAAGATGTAAGGAGACAAGGGTGAGTGTTGAGGAGAGGGGAGAGTACGTGTTTGTAATTTACGAGTGTATAGATGTAGCATCAAAAGAGATATGATGAATGAATGAGTGGGGTTCTGACATTTGGTTATATATTCTCTTATACATAATAGTGAAATATTTCTCTGCATGATTTAACATAGTCCTAGAGTTGGTTGAACCATATAAAATAATGTGTTGTGCGTAAATATGTATTATTGTTATTCATGTATGCTTATGTTAATGTGATGTGAATTCTTCTGCTATGTATAATGAAAGAGCTCTCAACAACATCCCACAGTGAATGGGTTGGAGGGAGTTAATATCCCCAACACCTTTTTGGGAACCTAACTTTTTAAGAATATAATTTATAATTTATAATTTTATTTTATTATTGTGGCAGCGAATGAATTTTCATATATACCCTTTTATGGTGAGTTCGCATAAACTTTAAAATGTTTTTATAACTTTAAGGTAAGCAGGGTAAATTAAGAATATTAAAAAATGGTACTATATAATATATATATATATATATATATATATATATATATAAAATTTAATTTTCAAATGGTAAGGAGAGATGAGTGAGTGAGTGAGTAGGGTTTATATTTAGTTGAATATTTTCATAATACATTATGTGAAATCTCTATCTCCATGAACGTAACCCTTGAGTTGGTTGAACTATGTAATATATTGTGTTATGCATAGATACATATTATTGTTATTTATATATGTTTTTCTTAATATGATGTGATGATGCTTCCGAGGTGTATGATGAAGGAGAAATTTAACTCTCAACAACATCCAACAATTGAGTGGGTTAGAGGGAGTTAATATCCCTAACACCTTTTTGGGCTAACTTTTTATTATTATAGTTTTTAATGTTTTTTATTATAGAGGGAGGGAATGAATTTTCAAATATATCCTTTTATTGTGCATGTGCTCACATAAACTTTAAATGTTTTTATAACTTCAAGGTAAGCAGGGTAAATTAAGAATATTAAAAAAATGATATCATTATTATTATTTCGAATGGTAAAGGGAGATAATGAGTGAGTAAGTGAGATTTTTACATTTGGTTGTATATTCTCTGGATACATAATAGTGAAATCTCTTTCTCTATGAACGTAGCCTTAAAGTTAGTTGAATCATGTAAATTATTGTGCTGCACATGGATGAGTATTATTGTACGTTATTCATATAATGTGATGGTGCTTCCTCTGTGTATAATGAAAGTGGAATTTGATTCTCAATAATATCCGTCAGTTGAGTGCATTAGAGGAAATTAATATTCCTGGCATCTTTTTGGGAACCTAACTTTTTAAAAATATAGTTTTTAATATATTTTTTTATTACAGATGTAGGAAATGAATTTTCAAATGTACCTTTTT